ATATCATGGGTGCAGGGGCAGGGTGGGAGGGCAGGCACGGGCACTGTTTTTCATGACTTCCACTCCTGAATCTGAGTGTGAAACCCATGAGCAGCATCTCACTTGGTGGGTTATGGACAAAGACATTAAACTGTCCAGGGACAAGACCGCACACTCAGCAGGCAGCCTTGTACTCTAACAAATGGTGTTCAAATTCATGGCTTTTGAGCCAGTGTGCTTCTGCAAAACTAGTCAGTAGAGGTCAACTCCTTGATGTGACCTTGACGTAATCAAGAGTTGTAGCAAAAAGATGTATGAGGCTGCGGATTCACTATATTATAGTGAATCTCTCTCTCTCTCTCTCTCTCTCTCTCTCTCTCTCTCTCACACACACACACACACACACACACATTGGTTAATTGGAGATAAGAATCTACAGACTTTTTTTTTTTGCCTAGCTGGCTTAGAACTGTGACCCTCAGGTCTTAGCCTCCTGAGGTGTGAGCCACCAGTGTCACCCGTGGCTTTGCTTTTGAACTTTTTGAATAGTATACCTTGTCCTGAATGCCAAGGACTGTGTACATCCACCAGATTAACACATAGTGATTTTCATACCCATAGTTAGTGATTAATGAATGGTTGGATGGGTGATGTAGGTTTGGAGTTCAGATCTGAAAGTAGAGGGGACCACATTTGCTGCCTGTGGAAATGTCTCTGAGTCACCTTGCTCTCGGAGTTGGTGGGTGTCCTTCATTAAAAGTGCCTCTGTCTCTCAGGTGACCTAATTCCCCTCACTCCCAGGGCAGAAAGGGTGCAGGAGTGTGAGTTACAGGAAGTGAGGGGAGTGGCCTCAGTGGAAAAGAGAATAGGAGCTGGCTGAGCTGAGAGATGATCTGGGCTGAGAAGTGAGATCCTGCCCTCAGGCCCTTCCCGCCTCCGCCCTCCCCCTCCCCCCTTCCTGGCTGTGGCAGCCACTCACAGGGTTAACCCTCTGTCCAGGCCTGGTGAGCACTGAACCAAGGGGTCAGGCCAAGGGGCTCCAGTGCAGGGGGCTCTGGGCAGCAGGGGGAGAAATGGTAATGCTAATTCAGAAATGTGCTCACAATATTGACAGGTACAACCTCTATGGAAATCTATATTTGAAATTGTCTGATCATGCCATGTTCTCTGCTGATTCAGCAAGTTGAAGGAATGATTATGAATCGCTTCCAAGTGAGGCTAATTAAGTATTTGATAAATGGAATTCAGCACTTTTCATCAGTAGAGAGCTTGCCTGATGAACTAATTGGGCCTAACAAAGGCATCACTTTTTCCTTTCTTTCTTTTCTTTCTTTCTTTTTCTTTCTTTCTTTTCTTTCTTTCTCTTTCTTTCTTTCTTTCTTTCTTTCTCTCTCTCTCTCTTTCTTTCTTTTTCTTTTCTCCCCTTCCTTCCTCCCTCCTTCCCTCCTTTTCTTTCCTTTCCTTTCTTTTCTTTGTTGGCCATAGGGGCTTGAACTCTGGGCCTGGGCACTTTCCCTGAACTCTTCAGCTCTACCATTTGAGCCACAGCACCATGTTTAGTTTTCTGGTGGTTAATTGGATTTAAGTGTCTCATGGACTTTCCTGCCCAGGCTGGCTTGGGACCACCATCCTCAGATCTCAGCCTCCTGAGTAGCTAGGATCACAGTCATGAGCCACCTGTGTCCAGCTGCATCATCTTCTTTCTAAAGATAATCAAACTGGGAAAGAGGGAAAAAGTGAAAAAAAAAAGTATGCTTTTAGGATGGAGGAATCTTTAGAGCCAGATGAACTGCGACTGGAAGATCCCTAACCTAGTTCCTGAGGCACGTTTCATTTAATCGTCCCAGCTTCCATGACGGTGAATGCTGGCTTCTGGACACCTGTTATCAGGGCTATTGCCAGAGCCCGGGAGAGGAAGATAGAAGAGGAGGCAGTAGGATGGTTTTTACCTCTGGCACACTTGGCGCACTGCAGAATTCTCTGTACAGGAAACACACTAAAGAGAGGTGCTAGGGTCAGTGACAAGTGTCATATGAAGGCCTTGTCTCACTCCATTGCTTAACAGCTGGCATCTTTAGAAAGGGTGGATCAGATGACATACACAGGAGTTGATGCCTTGCCTTTTGTTGATGAGCCACAGTGCCACCTGCTGGGCCCTTGGCAGATGGGTGACTAATGCCCTTTTTTCTGGGGTTACTTCTGTATTTCCTTCTCTGGCCAGGCCCAGCTCTGAGTCTTGGCTTCTCCAGCTACTATTTCCAAAATACTATAAATCTGTCAGCAGGACATTTTGATATTTAACAGCAAACATTTCATTCTAACCCTGTCAGTAAAATTAGTATTAATGAAAAAATCCAAGACTCAAGTCGCCAGTATGACAGGTCTTACCTACACCAGCAGAAATGGATGGCTTTCTGTTCTAGAAGGACTGGCTGGTGGCAGGGGGCATCTGGAAATGTTTCTAGAGTCTGTTTACATAGCAAGTACTCTATCTTTCTTTAGTCTATGTGCTTTTTGGGGGTGTTTGGGAGACAGGGTCTGATGGAGACCCTGAGAATTGCAAAGCCACTATGCATAGCTTTGAGAAGACACTACACATGGGTGGCTCTCCTGCCACCCCGCCCAGCCAGGGTGAGGCTGTATAAGTCAGTTCTTAATCTCTGTGACAACATTCTAGAGGAAACCTGGGGGGGCATTTTGGCTCATGGTTTGAGAGGTTTCAGTCCATGGTCACCTGATTCTGTTGTTTCAGGTATATGGTGAGGAAGAGCATGGTGGTGGAAGGGCCTGGCTGAGGAAAGCTACTCACCTCCAAGACAGAGAAGGAGAGAAAGAGACAGAAAGAGAGAGCAAGTACGTGTGTGGGGGGGCGAGGAGGGGGGAGAGGAAGAGAAAGAGGATTTCCAGAGAACTGCTTCCTTCAGCCATGTTCTGTCTCCTAACGGCCAACCCAGGATGAACTCATCAGTGGACTAACCCACTGATAAAGGAAACACCTTCACCACCCAGTCCCTTCTCAATCGTACCACAAGGTGGGGACCAAGCCTTCACCACCATCTTCCCCCTTCCAGTGACGAGAGATGCAGACATGCCCATCTTCGCTTTGGAAAGGTGGGTGCAGTTCGGAATGCCCCCGCAGCCCACACATTTCCAGTTAGCACTCAAGTTCTCCCTATCACAGAAGGCACTGTGGCCCATCTTCTCATTCTGCCCTGCTGCCCAGTGAAAGCCAAGTGGCGCTGGCTGTGGACACTGGAGTAGCTCTGTCTACACAGAGGGCAGCTGACATCATCTGGATTCTAAAGTAAGTAGGGGTAAAACCCTTCTATAGCAGGGCATCAGCAGAAAGAAGGCCCATCTCTCTTGTTCTGTCTAGTTTCTAGAGAGGGTTGATCTTTCAGGAAGCTTCCAGAGGGTCTCACCAGGAATGGGAGAACCTACCACATCAGCTCCTCCTCCTCGCAATGGTGGAGTTATCCTGCAGATGGAGTTGATTGAGATTTTGGAGAAGTGTTAGAGCTGAGTTCTGTACTGGCTTCTCTTCTATCTCTACTGGATAGTTCTGGGTAGTGGAGTCTTGGGGCCCTCTGGAAACATGAATGTCTGCCATCTGTAGAAGCATTCATGACCTGTAATACCAAATGGTCCTGCTCTAGTGGGCAAAGGATTTCTAAGACTGCACCCTCTGTATTATTAAATAACAGCTAGGCTGCATAGCAACAAAGGGCTTTGCACATAACCTTCTGCAGTGTGGGGGTAGGCATTGGTATTACGAGCCCATCTTACAGGTGCGAATGGAGCTGAGACACAGAAAGGTCAGGAACCTGCTCAAGCTCCACAGCGGACAGCATCAGGGCTGGCAGTAGGAGCCACGGAGCCCCCAGAGCCTGCCCTCCTTTCCCTCCAGCTGCTCCTCAGCTTGCTCTGCTGGCTATAAAACCCTTTCTCCACTCCTGTGGATTGTACCTATGGGGTAACACCATTCAGAACCCTCTCTCCTTTCCCTTGTACTTCATTTTATTTAGTCTGAAATTCCTAAGTAGCGCCTAGTAACTATCTTACTTTCTGGTTTCAGCCACCATTGCAAGAGCCCAGATGCCAGTAGGTATGTAGCACCATGACAATGTAAAACAGTTTCTCGCTTGATCCTTACTGAGAGTCTTGTGATGCTGGCAGGATTGTCTCCTTTCTTAAGGAAACCAAGGCAAGGACTTGCAGTGACTGGCCCAAACCGCACAATCGGGAAGTGGAATGTCCAGGCCCCAGACTCAGGTGTTGTCCCAGGGTGGAGCATGCGAAGTTCAAGGTAGCTGTGTGATTATCAGACTTATTAAAACCTGGACAAAAAGGGCAAGGAGAGGGGCTGCAACTGTTCATAGCCCAGCTGTAGATCAACACCATGCCTTTGGGTGTTTTTGTTTTGTTTGTGTGGACCAGGGGATTGAACTCAGGGCCTTGTGCTTGCCAGGCAAGTGCTCTATCACTCGAGACACATTTGAGCCTTTTATTTTAAACTCTCCCTTCCAGCCCTGATCCCAGATATGGTCTCTCACTTTTGCCCAGATGAAAAAATGATCTCAATCCTCCTATGTCTGTCTCCAAGTACCACCAAGCCCAGCTTTTTATTTTTTGGTGGGGTTGGGGGTCAAGGCAAGAGCTATACCATTGAGCTATACCCCTAGCCCTAGCTTTGGACTTATAAGAACATATGAGGAATTTTCTAACTCATTTTCTGTATATCTTAGATACCCATCCTGAAATCAAATGTTGGAAACAGCTAGAGGATTAAAAGCTTGTGGTGAATAATGATCTTAAAAACATGTTCTCATTATCGTACTCAGAGGTCAAATATCTGACTTCTTAATCCTATGATGTTATGTATATAAAATCTTGCCCTAAGTGAGATCCAGATTTATAGCAGTTAATATTTAATGGCAAAATATTGTTACTGGATTGACAATTATGACTCTTCTTGCCCCACACAAAGGAACCTGCTTGGAAGTCAATGTAAACCAATCAACTAATTGTGATTATTCTGAAGTTTTTATTTTTTTTTGGAGGGGTCCTTATGTCACAAAATGACACTGTGTAATGTTTACAATGGGTATTAGAAATTGAGATGTTTTTCTTTCTACTATTTGAGAGTAAAACTGTAGATAACATTTAAAACCATCATCAAAAAGGCAGAGCAAACTTTTCTGTATATAAACTGTACATCGAAACAAGGCACTATATATTTCTGGGGAGATATTAAAGGTGGATTTGCATAGATTCTTCGGAGTCCATGCCATTCAGTACATTTTTTTCTGTTCATTTTAGCACCGGAAGCAGTACTCCAAACAAGTCAGATCTAATGTGACAGGAAATGCTTCTGAGTAGGTGAGGGTACACACGGGTGGCAGACTGAAGCCAACAGAAGCAATTTCAGCTATCTTGCAGTAATATTTTGACATCAAAAAAAAGAAATTAAAAGTGAATGAATACATATTGCTTTTTAAATACATATTTGATTTATATGGTGTTTATATAAATATATATATTTTAGAATCCACAAACTATCAAAATAACACTTTTATAAAGAGAACTGCTACAAAAAGAGAGTCGGCCATGTGTAGTCAAAGGAAGAGGGCAGAGCTGTGGCTCTAAATCACCGGTCAAGTGCACGGAGAAATGCTTTAATTGACATCACCTGCTGAATTGCGGAAAGTACATTTCCAAAGAGTTCTCTTAAAACATTTACAAAATACACAACTCCAGGACAAGCGGTATCGTTAATAAGATCAGGTTTGGGGTTTTAAAAAAAACCCTCTGATTTCAAAATAATAAAAAAAAATCAGTCTGAAAAAAGTATCCATTTTGGGGGCGCTATGGTTGAAGGTGACCATGAGGCTCCTCCGGCATCTGTGGCACTCAGAACAGGCCTTTTGCTTTCTTCAGATTCACCTGTTTCCACGTGGGCAGTGCGCTGTATTCATCTCTCGTCATATCTAGAGCAAACTGGAGGAAACAAGAAATGCCCACTGTGTGAGAGGATGCTGAGACTGTGGGTGCTGCTTAAGTAACATCCCAACCAAAGACCACTCACCTCGAAGTCTTCATCAGTGAGATAAATCTCCAGCTTTAGAGGATCCACTCCTTCTGGGAGTGGCCTGGCTAGGAGATCAGCCAGTGGGTAGATGGTTTTACAGAGTGTGGCCAAGACATCTTCCACAAGGGTGATCTGATTGGAAACCTCCGTGTCCTAGACAGGAGAAGCAGAGAGAGCTTGGTGTGTGCCACATTTGATCACGTGCTAGTGAACATGCAGCCCTGCCTATTTGTGCCACAGCCTGAGAGAGACAGGTTCATAGCTTCATTTCACTGTGAAGGGAGGGACCAGGGCCTGGAATATAAAGGATCACATCCTGGCTTTTATGTTTTCTCATCCAACTGCCAAGTTTCAGATAAACACTGTAACAGGTCTGCCTCCAAAAAAAAATTCACTTTCTCATAAGTGATTAAAGAATAAAATGATTGGATTCACAGCCTAAATACTTAGAAGCTTACACATAAATGGCATTTGTGCTTTCTCTGTCTGCCTCCCTGTCTTTGTCTCTGTGTTTATCTCTGTCTCTCTCTCTCTCACATATCCTGTCTGGAAACTGAAGTCAGGCTCTTGTGTTTGTAAGTACTCTACAACTTGAGCCAAAGACTCAGTCCTGCTGATTTTAGTTTATTTTTCAGGTAGGGTCTCATGCTTTTGTCCAGGCTGGCCTCTAATGGTGATCTCCACATCCTTAAAAGCTATCATCTGTTTCTGCCCCAGGGATCAGTTCTTGATCCATAATAGAAAAATAAGGCTGGGGATGTGGCTTAGCAGTAGAGAACTTGCTCAATATGTTCATGAATCAACCCTCCCTTCCTCCCTCCCTTCCCTACTCCTCCTTTTTTTCCTTCCAAAACAACTGTGTACATTAAGATTATTCAGTGGAAATTATCATCCTCCATTAAACTTGGATCCCACATGGGTTGCCCTCCTTTTAGGTGGCTGGATGGCTGGATGGGCGGAAAGGGTGACTACACACTGTTGGTAAAGTCAGCAACACATGGCACTGGCCCATGGAGGGATTTTTGAGGTGTGTTTTAGAGTGAGCCTGCCTGTGCCCATGGCTGGTTCCTTTCCCGATGCTTGGGGACACAGGACGAGTAACTCCAGATTTTGTGTCTCTACGCCTATGCTGGAAAAATTGGGATAATAAGAAGCCAAATCTTAATGGACTGTTCTGATAATTAAGTAAGAAAATGAATGTAAAGTGTTTGGAGTGGTGCCCAGTCAGGACAAGCACTTAGTAAATCTTAATTAATTAGTATGGTATGCTGTGGGGGAAGCCCGTTTCCTCCTGGCTGAAATCCCACAGGCTGGTACAATATCATGCAGCTCCTGCTGACATCCAGTGATCTACAGTGGATGCAGAAATATGATGGTGATTTCCAGCCTGTGTTTAGACTGCATGAAGTTGGTAAGGTGTTGGCAATCCCTGGAGCCTTTGGGATGGTTTGCTCATATTCATTAACTTCTATAACATGTTGCTTTCTATCAGAAATCAGGCTGAGGTTGGCCCTTCCCTGTGGAGATCAAAACCCGTGGCTATACAAAGACAGGTTAGCAGGCATGGCTCAATTGAATTGGTAGGGCACCTGCCTAGTAGGCAACAGGCCCTGAATTCAATTCCCAGTACCACCAAAATAAAAATTCTAGATAATAATATTCTGGTAGGTAGACGTTATAATGAATGCCTCATTTAATATCAGATGGACACATAAAACACAATTTTCTAAGTCCCAGTCCTAGGGCTTGAACTCAGGGCCTGGACACTGTCCTAAAACTGTGTTTTTCTCAATGCTAGCACTCTATGAGCCACAGTTCTGCCTCGGCTTTTTGGTAGTTATTTGGAGATAGGAGTCTCACAGACTTTCCTGCCCTGGCTGCATTCAATCCTCATATCTCAGCCTCCAGAGTAGATAGGATTATAGGCATGAGCCATTGGTACCAGGCTCAAAAGACAATATTAAGGAAACTTTGAGTAACACCTGGCTATGAGTACATCACCAGGTCTAACGATCTGAACACACCTGAGATCAAGGCTTGTCTTGTGTCTTTTTTACCTGAGGCTAACCTCTGAAACATGTATTTTGTAGACTTTGAGAAGCAATAGAATGAAAAGACTGCAGTTTTTATTATTATTATTATTTTGGGTCTGGTCGTGGGGCCTGAACTCTGGGCCTGGGCGCTGTCCCTCAGCTCTTTAGCTCAAGGCTAGCACTCTACCTCTTGAGCCACAGTGCCACTTCCGGCTTTTTTCTTTTTGCTTATGTGGTGCTGAGGAATCGAACCCAGGGCCTCAGGCATGCAAGGCAAGTGCTCTACCACTGAGCCACCTTCCCAGCCAGGACTGCAGTTTTTATTTATGGTCTTCAAAATAAATAAATACACCTCCACTTATAAGTATTTAAGGAAGTCTGAGTTCTATGTATAGAAAACTACCAGAAAAGTCCAACCTGACTTCCTGTTAGATTTCTCCTCTTCCTAAACTAGTTCTTTCCTTCCTTCCTTCCTTCCTTCCTTCCTTCCTTCCTTCCCTTCCTTCCCTCTCCTGCTCCTTCTTTCCTCCCTCCCTCTCTCCTTCCTTCTTCTCTTCCTTCTTTCCCTCCCTTCCTCCCTCTTTCTTCCTTCCTTCCTTTCTTTCTTTCTTTCTTTCTTTCTTTCTTTCTTTCCCTCCCCTCCCTTCCTTCTCTCTCCCTCCCTCCTTCCTTCCTTCCTTTCTCTTTTTCTCTTGAGAGTGCTATGAACTATAGACTGGATACCTTGCCCTACTGAGCATACACCTGCCTGAACAGTGCAATGTGCAGACACGCGCTTACCATTTCCGTGACCTCAGCAATGTCTTCCCTGTGCTCCCAGCAGGGAAACATGTTGGTGAACGTCAGGGGCTCGAGACCAGCATGGATGAGGTAAGACTTGGGAGGTGGCTTCTTGAGGTTCTTTCCTGTGGTGACACGGAATACAAACAATGTCAGGGGGCACAAGAACCCTGTCTTTCCTCTGACTTCCCTTGGAACCTTGTCTTCTTTGGTCACAACTCCTAGTTTCAAGTTTAAAATGACAATTAAAAGTAGTGGATAACAACACATGGATGAAAATAATGTAAAATGTGAATCTGATGTCCTTGATGACAGAGTGCCATGAAGACAACATGACGTCTTTGTCCTGAGACTAACACAATGCTTCTGGATCCTTGGGTGGCCATGGCTGCTATCCGGAGCTCCTCCTGTCAGTCACCTGTGCAGGTTCCTTTCACCTCGTAACACAGAATAACTTCAATCACATTAGATGGGTCATGGAAGTGTCTTTTATAAGCACTGAAGCTTCCATATTTGGTAGAAAGTTTAGGAATCTACTACAAAGGCTTTTCAAGATTAAAAAAAATAAACAACTGCACACATTCAGTGACGTGAAGATAATCAACAAAACCGGAAACATTCAGATAAAGCATTCATTACTGGCTCCTTAATTTTATCCAAAAGATTACATATTTCATGTGGGAAAAAATACCCCATGCATTTGCTATTTTCTTTCCCCCCAGGATTCTCCTCTGAGGAGTGAGCTCAGGGCCTTAGACTTTCAAGGCAGGTTGCTGTACCTGATACAACTGCTCTTTTGTTTTTGGTTCTCAGACAGGATCTCAAGCTTTTCCTCTAGTGGGCCTTAAACAAGATCCTCCACCCTCCAGCTCCCAAGCAGCAGGAATTACGGCATAAACCACTACGCCTGGGTTACTAGAAATCCTTTTTTAAAAAAGGAATAGTAAAAATAATAAGGAATGCTGAAATGGTGGACAGTGACTTTTTGACAGTTTTTTTCTGGGTAAGATTTCTGTTTTCCAAAGACGCTGCTTTACACAGAACATGCCTCGTGGAGGCCCACATGTCTAGCAGCACAACTAAATCCCAAATGCAACAGGGTTTTTGTCCATCCTGTGTGTTCCATAACGCACCCTTAGGATACCAAGTGTGAGAAAAGCATCTTTCCTGTCAAGGTGGACTGCTTCCTTTCTGTCGATCTTGTGAGAATTGTTTTTCTGAAAAGTTTCTGCTTTGGCCAGGCGGCTTGGCCTTTGTTGATTACATTTACATCCTTTTCTTGCTGTGCTTTAATTAAGACATCCTGTTAGAGGCTCCTTGAATTCTAGGTATATCCTGTTAAGCCACATCCTTTTGCAGATTGTAAACCTGAGCTCAGTAAATGTGAGCAGCCGAGGGGCGTGGCTGGCTGGGTTGGAGATAAAAAGGGAGCAGCTTGCCTGCTGTGTGCTTGGTTTAGGTTGATGGTGCACCCTTCTGCAGAAGTAAACTTTGCCTTGCCGCGTTCCTTTTGAGTTGGTGTACTTATTCCTACGTAAAATCCAAACTTCTCACACAAGTTACATGGTCTCATCATACGAATGAGAAAAATGAATTCTCACTTGTGCTGGCAGATGAGAATACATGGATCTTAAAAGTAATATGTCTCAAATGCTTAGAATGGGCACTGGCTTCATTGCTATCTGCCATGCTCTGCCAAGCTAGTGGGCATGTGCGGGAAATGTGGGTCTGGGCCTCTGGCTGCTCCTCCCTGGTTCTGAACCTCCCCTTACCTCGGCAGTACTGCAGGACAGTCTCCATTGCACTCTTCCGGTCGGAGGCCCAGCGGATGCGGGCAGAGCCGGTGATCTTGTTCTCGATGGGCCACCAGCCTTGCCAGAGGTATACCTCATGGTGATTGTCAACCAGGAAAAGCGCTGAGGGGAGGACAGAGCCAGACCATCAGGAGCTCCTTGAGGCTGCTTCTAACATGCTCTGCCCCAGACATAAGGAAAGCCCCCACCCCTTCAGATAGGGACATCTCTATGAGCCTCCCTGAGGATGAAGGAGACACTGGAAGGCTTCAGCCCTTTGGAAGTTAATATTAGAAAAGCCCCCTACGTATAGAGAGCAGAGGTACAAGGATCTTTCTCATCTTCTTTCTTCTCAAATCCTCCTTCTTTTCCCCATCTCATGCTCAGGCCTTCTTAGCTGTGGCTAGGCCTGTGCCAAGTGTCAAGGGGCTGTTTGTCACCACCAGTCTCCAAAGAGCATCGTGGAAACTTGGAGCACATCTTGCCTGTCCTCAGCTCAGTGACATTTGTGTCCACACCTGACTACTGAACACTGATAAAGTCCTCAGTTCTCTGACACAGAAATGGGCTTTAAAAGAGTAAATGTTCCATCTCCACCTCCTCCTCTTCTCTGCCAGTCTCAATTCTGACACATTCCACTAACTTGACTGGCTTGAATCCTTTCCTAGAGTATATTGTGGGGTTCTGGGAAAACTACACACACTTGAATTGCCCAGTGAAGGTTGATCATCCATCTGAGTCCCAGGTACAGGATGACAGCAACCACCCCTCTGGACACTAATGTCACCCACGCATGACATGTGCAGCGGGTCAAGCTTTGTTGATGACTTGGGCTCTATCTCTAAGCTGGAGGTATCTGATAAGAGACCATCAGCAGCTCAGGCACAGAGGGCCTCCACCTTGATAGGCAGGAAGGAGGAGTGTCTACAAAGCCCACCCTTCAGTGAGTGTCCCAACTAGAGTGATAGCCCAGAGGCTTCAGCTTTGAGGCTTCAGCCTGCTGGAAACATCCCTGACCTTGAATTTAGCAGTCTTGGGCTAACACCTCTCTGGCCAACTCAGAAAATGTCCCATCCCTACTCCTTAGCCATTCGCTTTTGCAGCTGGGGTGGCCATGTGACAAACTCTGGTAGATGGGACATAAACAGAGGTCTACTAGGGCTTCTGGGAAAGTTCCTGCTTTATCTGATAATCAGAAGATCCCTGGCCAACACAGTCTCTCTCTCCTATTCTATTTTTAAAAAATCACCTTTAAGTAGTTGTACAAGGGCTTTCAATCAACATATCAATTTATGAGTGCAGCATCTCAATCAATGTCACCCCTTCTATCATTCTCCCCATTCTCCCCGCTCCTCCAGCCTTACCCTTCTCAAGTTATCCAGTTCCATTTTGTTCTTTTCTTTTATGTTTCAAATGCAATCATGGCAGCTAGAGCAAGGGCAGCTGGCTGAGGATTATGAGGTCTGAGGGGAAGCCTAGGAGCGGAGCCAAGGTCCATTCTGATGTTGGTGTTCTCACCATACTAATGTGGTCTATGGGCACAGGAAGGGACTGAGCCTCATGGCCTGAAACTATTAATATGTGACTTCATACTCTTTCCCTTTTGGGTACATGGAGGGTGGAATGATGTAATGGGCCAATGCTCTGCAGTGGGTGTGGTCTAGTGACTACTAAAGTACACAGACTACAGGGGAGGTGCTCAGGCCAAGCTGGGCCCCTGCAGGCCTCGCAGGCCTCACCTGGCTGTGGTGCACTGTACAGGTCCTCCTGCAGGAAGGGCATAGAGCTGACCACAGAGGGAGCTCGGGCAGGGTACACAAATTCCGTGGCTGAGAAATCCCCAGATGAGCTGCTGAGGATGAACAGGCGGGGTGCGAAGTTAAAACTGCCAGGATCTGAGAGAGAAAAGAAAACAAGGCTGAAGACAACAGATGATCATATGCCAGATGGGCCAAGGAGAAAATAGGGCCTAATTCACAAGGTCAGGGAAACATAGCTAGGATTCATGTAAGTGTAGATGGGGAAAGCCTTATTATTATTATTTTTTAGCAGTGCCGGGGATGGAACCCAGTACCTTGTGCATGTGAGTCAAGTGCTCAACCACTGAGCTGCAGGACTTACAGCAGTTATACAGGGAGGGTTTGGGGGAATTTTATTATTACATCTCCACACAGGGGAAAGCTTGTATCATTGCAATGATAAAAGAAGTAATCAGGAGAGAAAAGACTTAGGCATTAATTATGAAAAATAAAAAGTCACAGTACAAAAAAAATCAATAGTGGAAAATCAAGAAACAAAATGGGGAACAATTATAAAATAGAAATTAGTTAATAGCTCTACTATTAGAAATTAGTTAAAAGCTGTACTATTAGAAATTAGTTAATAGCTGAAGGTATATAAGGAAAAGAAAAATACCTCAAAATACCTCAATAAAATGTTCAAAGGGAACAAATAAAATATTCATCAACGCTGAAATACCAGTGGCTAAAAATGTATATATGCGGGCTGGGAAGGTGGCTCAGTGGTAGAGCGCTTGCCTTGCATGCCTGAGGCTCTGGGTTTGATTCCTTAGCACCACATAAGAAAAAAGAAAAAAGCCAGAAGTGGTGCTGTGGCTCAAGTGGTAGAGCGCTAGCCTTGAGCTGAAGAGCTGAGGGACAGCGCCCAGGCCCAGAGTTCACAACTGGACCCCCCCAAAAAAAAAGTATATGTGCATACATTTGCACACACATGTATGTAGTCATATACACATACATACACACATACAAAGTATTTCCTAGTACATATAATTAACAAGCGATATTATAACAATGCTTAGTTATTTCCTTTTCCCAATTTATTTAATGATTATTAGCAAAAGGTGAATACATTTGTGGCCATGTTGGGAATGTAGTTTCATTCATAGCTGGTAGGAATAACACTTAGCAGAAGTGCTCTGAGGACACATGCTGAAACACACAAAACTTTAACACAGAAGTTTGATATCTAAAAATCTACCCTAATTAGGAACAAACATGATTATTTTATTATTCATATTGCATCATTATGGAAATTATTCCACTCCCAACTATTATGAAGCCTGTTTGCTAGCAGACAACATGTATTCAAGGAATGTCAGCAACCACTCAGGGTCTAAATATTAACGACGTGGGCTTTTAGTCATAATAAAGTGAGTGACACTGGGGTTTTTTTTGCATTCATTTTTTTATTTTTTGCATTCATTTATTTACTTCATACTGGGGGTTTGAACTTAGGGCCTCATGTTCATTTGGCTTGACTGCATGGCTGGCTCTCTACACTTTAGCCATGCCTCCAGCTTAGCTTTTTTGCTGGTTATTTTGAGATGGGAGTCTGGCAAACTTTTCTGTCCAGGCTGTCCTCAAACTCTGAATCTCTGGATCTCAGCCTCCTGAGTAGTCAGGATTACAGGCATGAGCTCTGTACTTCTGCCCCTTTCTATGGACTGTCCCTCACTTTCTCTCAGGGACCTACAAGTCCCGGAAAGGTTAAGAGCTACAGCTTTAAGCACAGGTCTACCAACTTCAACTGCCACCTCTCAGCAGATTCATAGTAATGGCACTCAGTGACCAGCCCTGTACTCTTATCTGTGAATTTTATATTCCAAGTTCACAGGCCACTGGCAATTTTCATGAGCTCCTCATTCATGAAGAATTTACTAGTGTTTACTGGCCCCTTCCTCCTGTGACTTCTGTGAATGGCAGAGCCCTCGATATGGTCCAAGACTTCTGGCCTTGAGTTCCAGGCCCTCTGTAACCTGGCTTTGATTTGTTCGTGCTGTCCTGTCCACTGGCTACTAGCCAAGCTGAGTAGCCCATGATTCCACAGGTTCTGTTGTTGTTCATTCTCTCCTTTGAAGTCATACCAACTTCCAAAGCCCTGTGCAAATGTGATCTTTTTCATAGAGCCATGTATACCTTTTCCTGGTGGAATAATACAACAAATCTTCTTCCTATGCTCAACCTTCTTCCTCAGTGCTGCCACTTACTTAATACACTCAATAGAATATTTGGCTTCCTCATTGCATTTGGAGACTTTTGATGCCCTACCCTTGGTTTAGTTCATTGTGTGATATATGTAGCACATGCTGAATAATAGATAAATTAGCGAGTGAATGCTTTGCACAGGTGGAAGGCTATGGATTATGGTATTACCTTGAAGCATGCAATCGTATGCTTTCCTGTCCCTCCTTCCTAAGGCCTCCCAGAACCCCAGGGGCTCAGATCCTTCATCACACTCATGTATCGTCACGTTGCTACTGCTGTGCAAACCTGCCTCCAGGGGACACCTGCATGGGAGGAACACAGAAAGTGTTAAGCATTCAAAGTGGAATCTCTGGATCACCCCCATTTCCTCTCTTTTCTGATGCAGAGCAATTTTTCCTAGCCAGTGAAGACATTCTATAATTTATAAGCCCCAGTGCTGGAAGAAAGGGTTTGGCCTGTTTCCAGGGATGAATGTACAACGGCATCTATCTTATACATAGCACAATATCTTTTACGCCTTCTTTCCTGCTAGACCATGAACTTCACAGGGAGAAAGACTTGGTTTATTCGCTGTTGAGTCCCTCTGCCCTGTGTCTATGCTTGGCTCGAGGTAGGTGTTTAATAAATACACTTGTTGAATAAATTGTGAGTGAGTACTTTGCTGTTTTCTTTGCTCTCACTGGTCTCAGTGAGAAACCTGGAGAGCAGCTCCAGCCTAGGACCTTCACTTTGTACCTGGGCTGGCCGTGGGACCACAGTTCTTCCACTTCTACCTCCTGCATAGCTGGGATAATAGACACACACAACACGACCATGCCTAGTTTGATCTTTGAGATAGGGTCCTATTAACTTTTCCATCCAGGCTTACCTTGAGCTCTGATCCTCTGATCTCTGCCTCCCAGGTAGCTGGGATTATAGGCATGATACAAATTGCCTTTTTAATTTTTATTTTACTTTTGAAAGATGAAGGTCTTAGTATATTGTCTAGGCTGGCTTCTATCTCCTGGGCTCACATAATCCTCCTGCTTCAGCTTCCTGAGTAAAGCTGGGGTGACTGCAGGCATGCATTATCACAACTGGTTCAATGTCTTTTTCTCAGAAAGCAGACATCTAGATGCATGCTAGGTGGAATGTCAGAGACCCTGACCTACATTCACCACCATCCCTTGTTGAAGTCACTGTAAGCACACTGGGTGCCATGCAGTCCTCTTGCTTTAGCCTTTTACACCCTTTCTGGAAAGCCTGCCATAGACATAGGCATAGCACTCACTGTTCCTTGATCTTATTTGCTGCGGTCCTCCCAACCTCCTTCGTGTGGGCTTGGGCTTTGCATCCGTGCCACAGGTAAATGAGGGCCTTGTTCACGTTGAGGACCACCATTGAAGTCCTGGACCTCAGGCTGCTGCAGTGGCAGGCCACCTCCAGCAAATTCCCCTCCATGGGCACCTCGCCCCGAACGCAGTACAGCCTCCACTCGCCTGCAGGGGGCAGCAGCAGCACAGAGTTAGGACCTGAGTCAGGGACAGGAAGAGCTGCCCTTGGAGGGTGGGGAGGATCCTGGACAGTCAGTGGTAGCCATGGCCCATCAGACTAAAGGAGACCACAGAGACCCCCGAGCTAAAGCCTCAAGTCAGGAGCAACAACAGCATTTGCTCCTCCCAGAAAGCAAGTCTCTCTGGAGTTCGAACCGGGGTGCCAAAAGTTCATGATGCACAGGGCCAGGGTACTGTCCCTAAACTTCTTTTGCTTAAGGCTAGGGCTCTACCATTTGAACCAGAATTCCACTTACGGCTCTTTTTTTTTTTTGGTCAGGAGGAGTAGGGGAAATTGGTGGGGGAAAGTCTCATGAACTTTCCTGTCTGGGTTGGCTTTGAACTGTGATCCTGAGATCACAGCCTTCTGAGCAGCTAGGATTATAGGTGTGTGCCACTGGCACCTGGCACAAAATTTAGTTAGTCCTAAGGCTCTAAAGTTTTTTCGGCTGCTAGCTAACAAAAGGAAATAACTTATAATATAGTAGATGATCCACATTTTTTCCTATATTTTCTAAAAAAGCATAGCCAGAGCCATGGCCAGGATTCACTGCAAGATGAAGGAGCCTTCTAGTACTCTACATGCAAAGGTGGATCCGAAGGAAATTTTGCTGGATGGGAAAGAAGTTATGCACTCCCTGTAAAGCTGATTTCTCAGGAAAACATTAGCCCTCTTTCATGGCAAACCACAGCAGATGTAGATAGAGTTACTGTAAATCCTCTTACTTGTAACAATACCTATCCCAGGAAAAAAATTTAAAAAAAATTCCAGGAGCCAGGGGCTGGTGGGTCACACCTGCAATCCCAGCTATTCAGGAGGCTGAGATCTAACGATCAAAGCCAGCCTAGACAGGCGAGTCCAAGAGATTCTGATCTCTAATGAATCTCCTCAAAAGCCAGAGGTGGAGCTGTGGCTCAAGTGGTAGAACCAGCCTTGAGGGATAAAGCTAGGGAACCAACCCTGAACTCAACCTCCAGTACCAACTATTTCTCTCCTCTCTTCTCTCTCTTTCTTTTTCTTTCTCTCGGTCTCTGTCTCTCTTTCTCTCAAGCTCCAGTACTAACTCTTTCTCTCTCTGTCTCGGTCTCTGCCCCCCCACATGTGCATGCACACACACAGACAACACACTCAGAAATGCACACAAAGAATTCCAGTAAATTGACTTAGTGGGCCTGGGGGATGTAGCTCAGTGGTAGAATGCTTGCAAAGCATGAATGAAGCTGTAGGTTTGACCTCCAGCACCACAAACAAAACAAAATAAAAAGTGACTTACTCTGCACATTTTCTTCTTCCTCTTCTCGCCGCCCAGAGTGCACAACCATTCCACCCTGGAAACACTGCAGGAAACAGGGGGGCTCCTTTCCCTGCAGAACCTGGACCTTCAAGTTTAAACACATGAAGACAGATCAGGGGTATGGGCTTCTAGATCATGGAAACAATAATGTTTGTTGTAGCAAACCTGGAATCTACATAGGCATATGCACAAAAGCCAGTGGTAATACTATGAACTAAACAAGCACCAATAAAAATCACATGTGTAGTCTCATTTTTCAGATAGATACTTGATCTTTAGTGAAAGTAGGAGTGTTATTTTCTGTTGCCATTTCTGTATTTTCATCATATATTATTATTCTGCCACTGAATATTCTTCTCAGACATTTTTGTATTTTAATAGGCTCTAGTAGCTTGTGACTATAATCTTAGTTACTTAGGGGGCTGAGACCTAAGGATCCCAGTTGGAAGTGAGTTTGGACAGATAAATCCACAAGGCTCTTACCTCCAATTAGCCAGCAAAAAGCTAGCTGTGGAGCTGTGGCTCAAGTGGAAGAGGGCCAGTCTTGAGCAAAAAAGCTGAGCAAGAATGCTGCAAGGCCCAAAGTTCAAGCCCCAGCATATGTGCACACACACACACACACACACACACACACACACATACACACATGTTTTTCTGGGGAATGCATGTAACATGATTAAAGACAATTTTAAAGAAGGCACACCTCTCAGTAGTGAGAATGGCTAATCGCTGTCTCCTTAGGAACTCTGGGGAAGTGTACTTTATAATTTTAATAATTTATAAATTTAATCTTAAATGTCCTCCAAAGGCTCAGTGCCTTGCAAGATGTTATGGGGTAGCTGTGGAACCTTTAAGAGGTGGGGCTAGGAGGAGGTCTCTAGGTCAAGCAGGGCACGCCCTGGTAGGGAGGGCCAGCCCCCAGCTCCTTCCTTCCTTTCTTTTACTTCCCCATCATGAGGTAAGCAGTTTTGTTCCTCCCTGTGCTCCTGCCATGACCTGACTCCTTACCTCAGACCTAAAAGCAACTCAGCCAACCAATGATGGAGCAGAACCTTGAAACCATGAACCAAAATAAACCTCTCTTTTTAAGCTGATTGTCTTGGAGTTCTGTTACAGCAACAGAAAGCTAATACACCTCGTTCTAGCACTCTGCTTACAGGGCAGTGTGCCTCTCACTGCCTTCCCCGTGCCTGTTCACACACTCCCTTTCCTCAGGTGTTGTCTGTACCATAAACAACATTAGAACTGAGTCAGCTTTGACAGGAAGTTTTCCCTCCAAGAGCAGATGATGTGTTGAGCTGGCAATTGAGAGAGAGGTAAGCAGAATTTCTCATCATGTACCAACTTCCCTACCCCAGGGCATGTTTTGTATAACCATGTGCCATTTTGTAGCGTGTTTCTTGTTCTACCATGATTTTCCATTCTTTGAAGCAACAAAAAATGAAATGCTCAAGGCAGAGAAATGAAGTTTCCAAACGCTAAGGATGCTTTTTTCTTTTCCTTTTTTTTTTTTTTGATGCCAGTCCTGAGGACTGAACTCAAGGCCTGAGCATTATCCCTTTTATTTCTCCTCAAGGCTAGTACTCTACCACTTGTACCACAGCTCCACTTCCAGCTTTTTGGTGGTTAATTAAAGTGTCTTATAGACTTTACTTCCCAGGCTGGCTTCAAACCTTAATCTTCAGATTTCAGCCTTTAGAGTAGCTAGGATTACAGGTACAGGTATGAGCCACAGGAGCCTGGGTAAGGGTACTTGTGAAGGCCTGATTAAAACCCACTCACATACAGCCTTCACATATACCCAGAGACGGCGGAAAGTACCAACTAGTAGGAATAAACAAAAATGCAACTATTGCTAGCAACTATTTCTAAAATATGAACTAGGTAAAAATATGTATTATCATCTTTTTAAGGGAAGATGATTAGTTGTGAAAACAAGAAGACTGAATAAATGTGGCTCTCTTTCTAGAAAAATCTTCTTTGCTCTCCTCCCTCATCTAAGAAGGCCAACTCTCATCTTAGGAAGTAAAATATATCTGCTCATAGTGGTGTCATGGTTTCCAGGCAGTCTAGGGTCAACTCCTGAGAACTGGTGCTAACAGATGGAACATGTGGTATAAGGTACCCAAAAATTAAAAAAGAAATGTTTAAAAAAACCTTTGAAATAGCTGCCAAGCATTGTACAGACTCTGGAACTATAAGACCAAGAGAGCCATAATTTCTTTCTTGCTTGTAAGGAGGATGGATAATAATAGTATTATGTAGTTTTAGGTGCTGGAAAGTGCTGTGAAAACATAGAATGTAGGAAAGGAATAGAGTGAGAGGAAAAGAGGAGAAATTGGATGAAATGGGGGTGTGACACTTGAACAGAACACCTTAAGAGGCTGAGAGCTATATACATCTGTACCTCTGTACATCAGAAAATATTCTTAAGATAGAAAGTCACACAGGGCCTGAAGTGTCAGGAGAGCCATTGCACGGGGCCAGGAGCAGGCTGGGTAGTAGCAGGAAGAAGAGGAAGTTGGAGCAGTGTGGATGGCCATCTATGAAGGGGCCACTGGAGTTTCCTTAGATTACAGAGTGTGGTTTTGAATGAGAGGTGACATGATCCCCCATATTCTAGAAAAGTCATGCAGACTGGTTTTCCAATCCATCAGAATATTGCTGATTTGTCTCTATTTCCATCTGTGATAGTAACTTTGGGTAAACTTGTATAAGTGGCACGCTAAGTCCTGATGGTGCTGTTGAGGTACTTCTGCATGGCTGTTCTGCTTATATTCATGGGAAGCATGTGGTGTGAGGGTGCCCATCCTGCTAGGTGCTTGACAAGTCAGGACCTTTTAGTTTGAAAATCTCTATCAAGCTGGGCATTGGTGGCTCATGCCTATTATCTTAGCTACTCAGGAGGCTGAGATCCGAGGATCGCAGTTCAAAGCCAGCCCAGGCAGAAAAGCCCATGAGACTCTTATCTCCAATTAACCATCAAAAACCGAAGTGGCGCTGTGGCTCAAGTGGTAGAGCACTTGCCTTGAGCAGAAGAGCTGAGGGACAGCGCCCAGGCCCAGAGTTCAAGCCCCACAACTGACAAAACGAAAACAAAAACTAAAACAAAAAAAGCCAAACAAACTGTACCAATTTTACAAGTGATATCACTGTGCTTTGTGTGTAAGACCTATCAGAAACACAGGCCATTTGCCATTTGCACCTGCTTTGTGGCTCACCATCGCAATGGATGGATGGTTGTGTGTAAGATAGGAGACAGAGCGGGTTTCAACCCGCAGGACCAGGACCACAGGGGCTCTGGATGATACTATCTGTGTTCCTTAGAATCAGGGACCAGGCCAGGCCCCGGACTTACTTGAGCCCCTCTTTCCTCATCCAGCTCCACGGTCATCAGAGCTGACGTTCCCTTCTCACTCACAGTGGAGTGCCGGCCTTGCCAGAAGAAGTACACACATTTCTCTTTGCCAGCCACTCTGATCGGGTGCTCTCCCTTTTGTCGGCTTCCCACTGTGAACACAGAAGGGCAAAGGGCAAGGTAAGCAGCTGAGAAGCCAGAGGAAGAGCGAAGCCCTCACCACTTCCCCACCGGCTGTGAGGATGCGAGGTACAGAAACAGCTGCAGAGTCCAGGGCTGAGGGGAAACCGCTCACAACGAGAGGGAGATCAATCTCACCGCAGAAAAAGAAAAACATCTCTCTCCCAGCTGACTGACACCTCCAAACATGAGAAAGATGCTTGCTTGAAAGGGGGCCCTGGATCCCCAGAGAGAAACTTGTCATCCTAGATAGGGAGACAGAGCCTGTCCAAATGTGTGACAGCAGCAGAAATGCAGATTGCCAGAGCAGGACCGTGCACTCTCTCTCTCTCTCTCTCTCTCACACACACACACACACCAACATACACACACTTTCCACACTGTGTCACTCTCTGGTAAAGGATTAGCGGTGAAGAAACAATACTAAACATGATAGCTGAACAGGAAACACTTAAGACTGTTAAAAAAAAACTATTCTAGTTTTAAAAGTAGACAGCTTTGAAGTTTCCAAGTTAGGTCAGAATTGGAACAGATTTGTTGCTGACCTACCACTCTTTTCAAAGGGCTAGGGGCTTCATGTCCATCACCCAGGCTTAGCTAGGTGGAGGTGTTACCTAGGAAGATGCTGCCTCAAATAATGAACAAAAAAGAAGTAAAAATGAGGGGAGGATTCTCTGCAGATACCATCACTCTGCTTTGCTCCCAAAAGGATACTCTGGAATTGGAAGGCTTTGAACTTATTCTTGACAGCTGGAGTTTTAAAAAGTTAATGTACTCATTACCTTACTCATGTAACTGTAACCCCTCTGTACAGTAGTTTTACAATAAAAAAACATATAAAAAAGTTGTAACCTTGTTTATAAAGATACTGTGGAAGCTAGTAATGAGCATCTTTGGGTTCTTTGGGAAGAAGTATTAGAAGAGGTTGTTTGGTCAAGTCATTATTTCCCATCATCTCCTATTAAATAGTCTATGAAGGTTTTGGAAAATGTAGCTGCACCTAATGAATTCCCTTTAATATAGTTTATTCTAGTAAACATACAACTCCCTTTTTGTGTTTTTGGAACTCCACCTGCTGTAAAGTTAGTTTCCTAGCGTTTCAGTCTATAGGTCAGAAGACCCCACCCCTAACATACACTAAGGTCACCTTCCTGGCAGCCAGGGGCGTAGTCCACTATTTCAGCCTGCCATGGTGGCATCCTGTGGTTCAAAGCCAGCCTGGACAGAAAAGCTTTCAAGTTTCTGTCTCCAATTAACCACCAAAATGTTGGTCTGGAGGTGTGGCCCAAGTGGTAGAGCACCACCCAAGCAAGCAAGTCCAGTGAGTTCATACACCCTGAGTGCATGCCCTAGTACTGACATTAAAAAAAAACCAAAGCAAAACAATCCCCCCCCAAAAAAACAAACCACAAAAATGAATGACTCTTCCCTGTATTACAGTGTCAGTGTACTAATGGGTTCCAGTTTAAAGCCTCTCAACAATAAGTACAATTTAATTATTTATCTAAGCAGCATAAAATCACATGGCAAACACTATTTTCCTAGCAAACCTCTGGGCCAGGGCTGGGCATGCATTGATTGCAGGCTTGCTTTCTGGAAGTGAACCTGAGGACATCAGCACTGCCATGCTGTCAGGAACTCTGCCTTCCTCCTCGCTGACATGCTTCACTCTCTGGTCCTCAGACCAATCTAGCACGGGGCTAGATTGCTATGGTGTCCCAACCCTGTGCTTGGATTTCAGCCTCCCTCATCGAGGACGACGTCAGCGCTCACTAACCTGCGGTGCTCACCATGAACTTCCACTTGACCACATAGGCATCACCTTCATGGAACTGCCCGATGCTCTGTCTGGGGAGACGGCTGTAGTCAAATTCCAGGATATGCCACACGTCCACAGAGACACTGGCAATCTCAAACTGTCTCCTGTCCTCCCCTTCCACCAGGCCATAGCCACGGCCAACATTGACTCCGTCCAGTATAGTGCTGGTTGTCACCTGGGGCACCGCCACCATCCGTGTCACATCACATGGCTTGATGTCCGCTCTGGGATCTTCCTACAAGGAAACATGCAAGCATTCAGTTGCTTCTGATCCTAGTCTTCTTCTTGTTGTTGTTGTTATTCTTGTTCTGGTACTGGGGCTTGAACTCAGGGTCTGGTTATTATCCTTGAGCTTTGCTTTTCCCCTCAAGGCTGACACTCTACCACTTGAGCCACGGCTCTACTTCTAGCCTTTTGATGATTAAATGGAGATAAGAGTCTCATGGAATTTCCTGCCTGGGGTGGCCTTGAACAGAGACCCTTATATCTGAGCCTCCAGAGTAGCTAGGATTATAAGTGGGAGCCATCAGGGCCCAGCTATTTAGTCATTTCTTATCATCTTCAATGTTGTTATAGCCATCTTTTGCTGTTTGTGGTGGTATTAGGAATGGAATTCAGAGCCTCTTGCATGCTGGGCAATCACTTTACTTCTGAGTTACACCCTAGCCCTGATTTAATTATTAATAGCACAGTGTGAAGATTTAGCTTTCATACTGTCTTGGGGTATCTGAAGGCTGTATTTAGGGGAAAGAATTTGGGAGGCTGAATATTGACAAGCAAAGCAGCAAATGCTAGAATGTACTTGGGACTATTTTGCTGTTTTAGTGGATGCTCCCTGGGAAGTCTTTTACCATCATGGCCATTTTTATTGGGACTCAAACCAAGCCCAAGTTTGAGGCTAGTCACTATCATACCTTCTGTGGGGTAAGTTCCCCGGTGTTCTTCTCTGTAGGTCTCTTCAATTCAGTCCAATCAAGAAATTTCTCTTTGAACAAAATAGTCTCATTGTGTTCTGTAAGTCTCCCAAATATCGCCCAGTCTGGCCGTCCTTGTCCTTTTCTGCAAGATCCGAGTAGGGAAGAAAAGAATCTTGACTACATGACAGACAAACTATGACAGAGGTGGCTCAGTCAGGGAATCCTGCTTGCTCAAGAGACTGAGATCTGAGGATCATGTTTCAAAGCCAGCTTGGGCAGCAAAGTCCACAAGACTCTAATCTCCATCTAACTAGCAGAAAGCCTAAAGCAATGGCGCAGGTGGCTCCATGGGAGAGCGCTAGCCTTGAGCAAAAAAAAAAAAAGAGAAAGGATAGTACCCTTTAAATAATACACACACACACACACACACACTCACACACATAGACTCATGCATGACTATTGAAAAAAGTGGCATGTTGAACAAATGACTTGCTTCTCCTTATTTTACCAAGTAAGTGATATTGTGTTGGTTTTAGCTGGACCCTTGTGAAGGTTGGTACTGAGAAGCTGATGTGCTTCGGTGCAACTGTGTGTGGTGTGGGCTTCTCTTGCATTCTAGCAAGCTCTTCCTGGGGATGTCCCTGGGGTTGGCATTAGACCCTAGACTCTGCAAAAAGCTGAAAGTAGTGGTGTGACTTGATAGAGTACCAACCTTCAGCGAATAAACCAGGTGAGAACGTGAGGCCCCAAGTTCAAGCCTCAGGAACTCTGTGTGTGTGTGTGTATACGTGCGCGCGCACATGCGCACATGCACACACAAAGAACACAAGGGATTTGTTTTATTTTGATGCTGAAGATGCATCCTAGGGCAAGTGCTCACTAAGCAAGTGCTAAGCAAGTGCTCTACACTGAGCACACCCCTAGCCCCAACACAGGTAAATTAGAAAGAAGCAGAAGCTCAGGAACTACGTTGTACAGAATGCACAGCTTTGAGAATTAACAGGCAGGTATTTCTTCCAAATCAGTGTTGGCTGTGAACTGGGACCAGGATGCCACTGTCACCTCAGATAAAGCAGCTGCAATGCTGTGCCCTGCTATACCCTGGTCGCCAGTCACCTCCTAGTTGGTCAAGACCACAGTTTCTGGCATTATAAGCAAAAACCCATGAAGGAGGCTGCATGTTTCGATGGAAGATGAGGATGAAGTACAGCATGCAAATATCCAAATGCCTCCATCTCAAGTCCCCAGTGGATCTCAGCAATCACATATCAACCATTAAGGAAAGTTTACAACTACATTGAAGGGCTATGGTCTCCAGGTCAAGAAATCTTTTTCTATACCTTACTCTGCAGACTTGCTATGAGGACTATAGACCCTTTTATAGCTTATTTTCTCTGGCTTCCACTTTAGAAAGCATCTCCTACATGAAACGAAGTGCATTGAGTAGGAGACTCACTGCAGAATGTAGGGTGTAGTACTGGTGAGGGGTCCTCATTTATAGGGTTTCCCAGGGACAAGGTACTTCTCCTTGGTACTGGGAATTGAACTCAGGGACTTGTGCTTGCTAGGTAGATGCTCTACCACTTGGACCATACTTCCAACCCTGTTTTGTGTTATTTTCAAGGTAGAGTCTTGCTTCATTCCCCAGCTAGCATGGACTGTGATCCTACTACTTGTGCTTCCCCATGATGCTTGGGATAACAAGCATGCATCTCTGTGCTTAGTCACTGTACTGCCCCTGAATCTAGGACAACCACTACCCAGTAGTAAACAACTAGCCAGTTGTTTTGAGGGGGGAGGGCTTTGGGGGGGTCCGGTCGTGGGGCCTGAACTCTGGGCCTGGGCGCTGTCCCTCAGCTCTTCAGCTCAAGGTTAGCGCTCTACCACTTGAGCCAAAGCTCCACTTCCGGCTTTTTTCTTTTTGCTTATGTGGTGCTGAGGAATCGAACCCAGGGCCTCATGCATGCAAGGCAAGTGCTCTACCACTGAGGCACCTTCCCAGCCCACAACTAGCCAGTTGTAAAGATGGAGTCTCTTGAACTTTTATGCCTGAGCCGGCCTCAAACTGTGATCTTCTGATCTCTGCCTCCCAATAAACTAGGTAGTTTCCTCCTTTTCATATTTACTTATTTGTTTGTTTTTTGATTGGTTGGGTGTAGGGCTTGAACTCAGGGCCTGGGCACTGAGCTTTTGTGCTCAAGACTAGTACTCTACATGAATGAATGAATGATTTTAGAAAGTAAAACTTTAATATAAACATGTTCCTGAAGACCATACATCCCATATTTGTTCTATATTAGTGAAAGAAAAGCTCAAGAAACATTTGTGAATGTTCCCAGGCCAAGGGAACATTTTTCAAAACTGCAATCTCTGTTCTAAAGAGCAGCAGAGGGTGACTGGGAAGAACTAAGACTGGCAGAGGGAGTGTGCACACGTGGGGCTTTGCATGCGACCGCAGGGGTACCTGGGAATAAGCGGATTGCATTCTCCAGGGTCCAGAGGATTGATGTCACAGTTCTCATAGTCAAAGGTTCCGTTCCACAAGTGCTTTGCCAGCTGAAATGCTATTTTCCGTTGGGCCAATGTGACTTCTTTTCCATGCCACACGTAAACTTCACTGCCAAAATCAAACACCAGGACCTAGGGAGATGACAGAAAATAATTTGTCCACTTTGAGGATGGGCTGAATAGGAATCAGGTCTCTGGGGTCACTGAGCCAAGTAGTGAGGGTATAAATCCTAGCAGGATAATCAATGCAGAAAAAGGGCCTGAGACTTTGTCAGCCAGACTTCTTGTCCTGAAGCTCCAGCTTCATATTTCCTCTTCTGAACTCTCAAGCCACTTCAAACTTTTCATTAGGTGGGTGCTGGTGGGCTCATGTTTGTAGAGATCTGAGGGTGGTAGTTCCAAGCCAACCCTAGTAGGAAAGTCCATGAGACTCTTATCTCTAATGAACCACCAAAATGTCAAAAAGTAGAGCTGTGGCTCAAGAGGTACTAGCCTTTAGTAAATAAGCTTAAGGATAGTGTCCAGGCCTTGAGTTGAATCCTTAGGACTGGCACAAAAAACAAAAACAAAAACCAAAAAGATATGTGCTTCTGATTAATAAGAGAGCTATTTGAATACACCTCCTAGCTTCTTTGTGTACCCCCTCTACTCCCTAGGGCATGTGTTCATTCATTCACTTCATGTACACAGATGATTGCATACATATCAAGAACAAGAGTATAATATCTCTTCTCTTCTGTGCACAATTCTACCATGCTTAAGGGCAGCGATCTTACTACTCTCATACTTACAATTCAGGCTTATTCCTAAGAGGTTGCTGAATGAGTACCGAAATATCATGCTAGTTCTCACTTCCACACCTGTGGGTTTTTTTCTTTCTTTCTACTCTTTTTTTCCCCTAGAATATTTTCTACCTTCATTCCCAGCAGTCTAAGTTCTACTTAACTTTAAACTAGGCTCATTTCATTTTCTGAGCCAGACACACTGGTGTCATTTGTCTGCAATCTATAGCTACTCAGGAGACTGAGATCCAAGGATTGTAGTTCAAAGTTGCCCAGGCAGAAAAGTCTCTCATTTCCAATTAACCACCAAAAAGCCAGAAGTGGAGGTGTGGCTCGTTATAGGGCACCAGTTTTGAGCAAAAAAGCCAAGCAAGGTCCTCAGTGTTTAAGCTCCAGTATTGGAACAATAAAATACAATGAAATAAATAAATGACTCTGCAGGGCTTAGGGGTGTGGCTTTAGTGGAAGAGCCCTTGTCTTGTGAACTCAAGTTTTGAGGTTTATTTCCCAGCACTATAAAAACAAAAACAAAAACACCCAGCCAGGTACAGTCATTCATGCCTGTACTTTGGCTTTTTTTTTTTGTTTGTGTACAGACCTGGGGCTTGAACTTGGGGCCTATGTGCTGTCCCTGAGCTTCCTTTTGCTTAAGGCTAATGCTCTACCACTTGAGCCACAGCTTCACGGCTTGCTTTTTGGTAGTTTATTGGAGATATGAGTCTCACACTTTCCTGCCCAGGGTGGCTTTGAACTGCGATTCTCATATCTCAGCCTCCTGAATAGCTAGGGTTAGTTGTAGCTGTGAGACACTGGCACATAGCTAATGTCTCTAAATACTCAAGAGGCAGAGATTGGGAGGCTTATAGTTTGAGGTCAGTCTTTAAATTTTATTCCTCACAATTTCTTTTTTGATAACCTTTCCCCATATTTAAATGCTCATACATTCAATCTAGTTTTGGATTGTGTTTTCAAATATGCTTCTATCCAATGAAATTTGTATTTATTTATTTATTATTATTAATAATTGTACAAAGTAAGGGTTTTCATTATGGCATGTCCATTCACCCCTTATTACTCCTCTCTATCACCCCATTCTCTTTTCCTTTCTCCCTTCTTTTCTCTCCCTCTCCCTGGTTTCTTTTTAAGATAGGGTCTTACTACTGTAACCCAGCTTTGGCCTTGAACTCATGGTCCTGCTTCAGTTTCCTGAGTGCTGGGATTACAGACATGTACTATCATGCTCAGCCAAATCTCTTCCACTTGTTTTCTCAGCACTTAAGGCCATTGCAAGGGTAGGTAATTAATATTTACTCTTGTAAGAGGAAAAAACCCTACATTAATTTGTTAAGCCCATAACTGAAATACACACTTAACTGGAAAAAAAAACCTAAATCTTTTCAGAAAATTAGAGAGACAAGGCAAAGTAGTGTTTACATTTTGTCTAAAATTGCACACCCTCAATGATCCATACTACCTCTGGACAATGTTCGGGACTAGCTGTTAGAGCTGGAACATCTATGCATCTGTAGAAGGCAGTAATGGTTTGAAGTCCCGCACAGATATCCTATAAGAGCTGAAGTGATGGACAATTAGTGAGAAAGCCAGATAACTTCTATTGGGCACTAACTGTCTGCTACGCTGGGCAGCTCTGGGAAGAGTGCTCTAGGGGTCTGTCCTGGTGCCTCTGACCTGGGGAGCACTCTCCATACCTCTCTGGACTGCAGGAGAGAGCACTTGGGAACTTTCCCCCAGTAGTCATCATCAGGCACAAGCTTATCCTCCATCAAACGGTAAATGCAGTTCGTTTCTATGATGGCTGTCTCATACAGTTCATCCTCCTTTGGGTCTCCAGCATCTGTGGAGTGAGAATAGTACGAGAGCATCACATTTGACATGGTGAAGGAGCTAGTGTAGAAAGATGAACCAAGGGAGCTAAGACAGGATGTTCAAGTCTTAAGTATAGAAAGCTCTTACATTGATAAGTGGTTTGGCCACCCAGAAGCTTCCAGAAATCTTTGGCTGCATGAGTGTGTGTATTAATTCCTTCCTCAATGGTCTGGATATAGGTAGCTCTGCAGCCAAGCTCCCTCTTTGTCTGAATTAAAGTTGCTAGTTCTGACGCCTGAAAAGAGAGAGGAATGCTGTGACCGAGGAAGTAAGCTGGCATGTACCAAGCAAATGTGGCAAATGTCATAATGAGCAGAGGAACGGTTTGTGTCTGAAAGTCTTGTGACCACAGGGGGATTCTGGATGTTGGGTATTTTCAATAAAGTCAAGAAAATGTAAACCAGGCACTTGTGGTTCACACCTGTAATCCTCACTACTCAGGATCTGAGGAACACAAAGCCAGCTAGACAGAAAAATCTATAAAACTAGTTTTCAATTAACCAGCAAAAAGCTAGAAGAGAACCTGTGGCTCAAGTGGTAGAGTATTAGTCTTGATTGAAAAAAGCTAAGAGTGAGCAGGAGGTCCTGAATTCAAAGTCCAGTACTGGCACAAAAAAGAAAGAACATGTCACTTAGGGAATTGATATGAACAAGTACTAGCTCTTTAGAGCAAATAGTTCTTGATTTTTCATGTTCCATAGCTCACATATGAAGCTTAAAACAACTACCTACCCCCAGGAGATTCTCATCCAGGTTTGTGGCAAAGTTCATACGTTCCCAGGATAAAGGGTCTTTGCTTGGTGATGGTTCCTTGTTTATTTGGGGCAGGAATAATCTAAAGCAGAACTAACTAAAGCATCCCAAATCAGTACGTCACAAAAGCTCAGGAAAAGTCAGGCTACCTGTCTCTTGTCACTTGAACAAAACATTAGGCATTTAGGAAGCTCTGTAAGGATCAGATAGCTGGTAAAAATAATTGTTGCATAATGGAAGTGTTAACTAAAATATTTTGGTGGTCCATGGGTTTGAATTCAGGACGTCATGCTTGCTAAGGTAAGATCCCATCACTTGAACCACAGACCTCAACCCTTTTTGGTTTCATTATTTTTCAGGTAAGACCTTGCTAACCTTTTTGTAGGAGCTGGCCTCGGACCATAATCCTATCTCCACCTTCCAAGTGAGAAGACAGAGGGATGATTGTAGTAGGATTCTAGCTGCGATTACAGGCACAAGCCACTGCACCCAGCCCAACAAAAGCAGTTGTTCAGACACCCACCTTTGCCTTTTCGATGACATTTGCGAACTCTCCAACCCACAGAAAGCAGTACTGGGGAGACAGCAGAAGGAAGCAGTCCCCGCTGTTGAGTGACGAGGCGCGAGGCTCCACCAGCCTTGTTTGCACGTGTCTTCTTCCTGAACACAAGACCCAGAATCACCACTTTCTCATGGGGCCCAAGGCAGGTGGGAAGCATGGCAGTTATAGACTACCAATTCTAAAGGTTTTTGTTTACAAATATGAGTTCCCAAGTCTGCGTGGCATGCAGAGGGATTTAAGCTGGGCCACGTGATACTATTAGTGATTACTTCCCCTGCTTAATGTTGAACACCTCCCTTTTTAGGACTAGTCACAGTGGTCACTGTACAGCATGTGAACAGGTGTGTTTGTGTCTCACTTGCTGTCCAGAGGAAGGGCAGAGAGTAGAGTCCCACAAATTTCATTTCCTTCTGCATTCTTTTGATTCCATCCTGGTGCCCTCCTTCCTCTGGCTAGCATAAAATCTCTGCTCATCTGAGCAAGGAGACATGAGTGGAGAGTGGTCTGAGGTCTTCAGACTCATCTGGTGTCTGCATGGCAGTGTGGGGACATGGGACCTGAGGGACCAGAGGAAGTGGGAGCAAAAGCTGAGAGGCAGGAAGAAAAGAGACCTGACTCCAACTCCAGCTTTGCCACATAGCACATGCTGTGACCACATTAAAGACCTCTGAAAGCCCCAGTGGGCAGCATATCTCCTGCCTCTGAGATTTGATTAGGTGTAAGAGTTGTATTCTCAGAAAGCTCGCATGCTGGGTTCCTGACAGGCAAGGAAGGGTACAGGCAAGACTCCTAGTGGGACTAGACAGAACTGATCAATGCACAATGCCTCCCCCAAACCCCGCTCCAGTCCCTGCCCCACCTGTGCTGCTCAGAAATACCTTTAATCTGTAACAACATCAGCTTTTTGTAGGGCACAGCGCTGTTGTTAGAATTCTGCTCTGTCAGGTTGACACTCCGCAAGTTGACATTGCTGAAGTTTTCCTTACTGGCTAAGCCTGCCAGAGTCACTTCGGAGAAGTTGGAGTTGGAGGACACTGGGTGAGAAGGAGAGCCATGTAGAGGGAAAGTAAGGTGCTCATTGAATTGACAATGTTTACAATCAGAAATCATTCCCAACCAACTCATGATCTGTGCATTTTATAGTTATCTAAGGAGGAAAACGTACTCAAGCTTGGCTCTCTATGCCATCAAACAATCACCGTCCAAGAAAACCTAACTGCAGAATCTGAGGTACAAACCACTTCATGGCAAGTGCCACGTGATCATGCAAACTAAAGTAGCAACATTAGGATAAACCAGGTGAGGAGCTCATTTGTTCCAATTCTACTGAAAGCTGTTATAACTGCTAACAACTTTCTGTTGTGCACAACTGTACACAATAGAACAATGAAACCCATTAAAATGCCCTTTAAAAGTAGGAGAAGAGGAGAAAAAAAGAAAGATTAATATGGGGTGAATTAGATCAAAGTACATTATGTGTATGTATGGAAATTTTATAATGAATCTCTGGTGTAATTAATAGATGGTAATATATAAAGAAAGAGAGAGAGAGGACAGAGGGAAAGGAGAGGGAAGGAGACAGAGAGGAGAGAGGGAGAAAAGGAGAAAGTGACTTAGCCATCTCATCTAAATACTGTATTTCTAAGAAGAATCTTGGGAAATTCGGTTTGTGAGTCTGTGGGAAAATACAAATTATAATAATATTCAATAATATTGAATAATAGTATTCAAATATCAAGATTCTGCATGCAGTCACCTCCACCAACAAAACCACTTTTTTGGAACAATGGAACCCCGCATTGTTAGATAAAAGCAGGGCAACTTGGCCTTACATGGGAGTAGAGAGCCAGGTGCCCACTCCCTCACTCTCCATTCAAGGCCCATTCCAGCCCGTCCTACCCCACTTAATCCCCATCCTGACACTTGGCAGCCCTTAGTGACCTCTATGTAGAATGGTTTGAGCTAGATCCTAGTGGCCTGTGAAAATCCTTGCTACTCAGGAGTATGAGATCTGAGAATCTTAGTTCAAAGCCAGTTCAGACAGGAAAGTCCATAAGATTCTTATCTCCACTTAACCACTAAAAAGCCAGAAATGAAGTAGTGTTGTGGCTTAAGTGGTATAGTGCCAGATTTGAGTGAAAAACCGTACGAGAAAGCACCCAGTTCAAGCCTCAGTAGGAGTATATTCACACAAAAATAAGTAAATTAAATAAAACTAAATAAAAATAAAAACAAGTAAAATAAACTAAGGAACGATTCGAAAGTATTAGCTTAAAACTCTAGGATTAAGAATAGTGAGTTGAGATATATTTCCATAGGAAATTCCGTTGGCTCTTGAATAAGATGAAGTGAGAATTACTGTGTTTGGGTTCTAATAGGGCTGAATCTGGGTTGAACCACAAAATCCAGAAGCATCTTTCTTCTTCAATCAGGATGATTTTAAATTGCTCAACTGAACAGATGGTCCTCCTTGACCCTGAAAATTTAGGCCCACATGCCTGTTTGTGCAAATTTACTTATTATTTAATAGATGTCATTTGAGCATCTTTTCTGGCCTTCACAAGGCAGAAAAATGAAGAAATAAGTACAACAAATGAACACCCTATGCCCAAGCAGAGAAGCAGGGCAGTGGTTCCACTTACTCTTTTCCACCTTCATCCGCTTGGATTCCATGAAGGCCACATTCAGCCTCTGCTCCGTGTATTCCTGGAGGAGATCCTCTCTTGCCGCCAACATCTTCAAGGGGTTTTTGGAAGCCTGGACTCGGCGCTTGGGCCTAACTGCACGCTTGTGCTCTGCCACAGACGACGTTAATCTGGGGGCCAAGCAGAGTTGGGTTTTATGGCTGTAACACCAGCCACCCCTGGTTTGCCTATGGATCTTGGACTCAGAGTAATGGGTTCCATAATAGCATTGCTTGATTTCATTATGACGACAGCATCTCCCATTCTTACTCACCTGACAAGAAATCATGGGATCTTGGAGGTAAAGGGAGATTCAAGCCCACTGAATCCAGGATGTCCCTGTCCCAGGAGCCCAGTTCACTTATGCCCATTGGTGTCTACTTAGTGGCTATCTAATGCTCCACGGGCAGCGTGTCCTCCACTGGACTGCTCTAAAGGCCGAGGAACTGCTGTTTCATACCATGCCACGTCCTAAGTCTCTTTGGAAGGGCTCACCTGTGTAGAACGGTGCCTCTAGAATTCACATGAAGCCACTGGCCCTCAGTCCCACCCTTGCTGCTCCAGAACAACAGTTCTTTTTATTCAATAGCTTTTCAGTTCCAACACCAATTCTCAACCGCTGGCCCCTGAGAGAAATAACCACAATTTGTGGTTGTGTGTGCATGTATGTGTGCCAGCACTGGGGCTTGAACTAAGGGGATTCTCCTCCCTTAGCCTTCTTTTTGCTCAAGACTGGAACTCTTTCACTTGAACCACACCTTCAATTCCAGTTCTTTGCTAATTAATTGGGGATAGGAATCTTTTGGACTTGCCTGCGTGGGATGGCTTCCAACCTTGTTTCTCAGATCTCAGCATCCTCAGTAGCTAGTATTACAGGTGTGAGCTACTGGTGTCTGACAATAACCACAATATTGAAGAAGATAGTGCAATCAATGCAAGAGCCTGCAAACCACCTGTGATTCCACAGGCACTCCCTTCACTACTGTGGACAGAAGAGCAGCCTGGGAAGCTGGTAGGTCTAGTGATGAGACTTCATAACAGACCCCTGCTGCTGCCTGCAACTTCTAGGTACTTAGGTCTGTGAGCAAAAGTCTTGTTAATGTATAACACTGCCTCTGTGTGTATCTAAATGTACACATAGATGTTTAAATGACCATATTGAACTACTTAAACAGTGACATTTGGTGAGGAGAAAATTGAGAAATGGTTAAATAACCATTTATTGCAAATACAAATGTCATTTGAAGGTGGGCAATGGAAAGTTGTTCTTTAAAGACAGGAAATAAAACTGAAATAAATTGAACAAATTAATAACATGTAAAAATGTACTGGAAGCATCTTACAGAAATTTTAAGATGACTACCGGGCTGGGATGTAGCTCAGTGGCAAAGCGCTTGCCTAGCAAGTGCAACGTCCTGGGTTCGATCCCCAGTACCAAAAAAAGAAAAGACAAAAAAAAATACAGTTAAAAAAAACCCAAACAAAAAAAGAAATTTTAAGATGACTAAACATACTCAGACAGTCACCCAGATGGGAAAGAACAGAGACTTGGCAGGTGCTTGTGGGCATACCCTGCCTGGCACATGACTCCTGCTTCTGGCAATGGCCTGGGGGCTTTCCTTGGAGAAATCCACTTCACCCTTCCATGGCCTGGATGGGAAGGATCTAGACACCATCTTCTGGTTCTTGGCTATAATGGATGGTTTAGAAGAACTTAGAAAGCTGATAAAAATCGTTCTCCATTTTTTTGGTGCCAGTAGTGGGACTTGAACTCAGGGCCTCAGGATCTTACTTGGGTTTTTCACTACTTGAAGCAATGAAAAGCCAACCTGGAATTTCTGCTGGCTCTAGTGGAAAGCAAAGCTATGGTGCCCAGGTTGGCGGCAGGATCTGGAGCTGGATGCAGCCACAGCTTGACAGAGAGTGAAACCAGTTCATAAAGAAGAGAGGCCACGTTCTGATGGGGCTCTGGAACCTGAGATCCTACTAGTTTTCAGCATGTGAACCTATAATCCTTCCACAACTTTCTTTTGCTGAAGATAGTTTTTCTTAGGCATTTCTGTTTTTTTTGTTGTTGTTCTTGTTGTTGGTCATGGGGCCTGAACTCTGGGCCTGAACACTGTCCCTCAGCTCTTCAGCTCAAGGCTAGCACTCTACCACTTGAGCCACAGCACCACTTCCGGCTTTTTCTGCTTACGTGGTGCTGAGGAATGGAACCCAGGGCCTCATGCATGCAAGGCAAGCGCTCTACCACTGAGCCACCTTCCCAGCCCCTGCCTTAGGTATTTCTATGGCACTTATAACTGACAGGATCCCAATACCACAATAACTTTTTGAGGTAGGTTTGTTATGTTCTTGTGGGAAGAGTCATTTTTGGACATCATTGAGAAAATTCTCAGGTCTACTGATTTTATACATTATAATAAACTAGGTAACCTCTCTACCCCTCTTGGTTTTCTAGCTATACTAATCATGTGTTCTTACAGTGACACTATTTTGATAGAACAGGACAAACCTCTGTGACACACGCAGTCTGGAGGATGTATATTTATCTGGCCAGAGTGTCAATGCGGCTGCAGGGAGATCAACTCCCATGAAGAACACAGTGACAGAGTTCCTGGCAGAATGATGTGGGGAAGAGGAGAAGGAAGTGTTCTACAGCAGACGAAAGACAGAGGCAGAGACTCACTTGGGTGCATAAGGGTCGAAAATGACATCGAAATCTTCATCTAACTCCACAGGACTTTTTGGGGTGTTGGAATCCACACTGCGGTAGAATTTGGCAAAGGTTTCGTCATCATCCAGCTTCATCACCTCCTTCACAGACTTCCCGGTGACAGTGAGGATCGTTTCCTGCATCCCACCAACTATCAATCAATAAACACACAAGTAAGAGGCTTAAAAATGTTTTTTTCAGACATGTGTATTATTATTATTATTATTATTACTTTGTTGGGCGTGGGACCTGAACTCTGGGCCTGGGCACTGTCCCTCAGCTCTTCAGCTCAAGGCTAGCACTCTAGTATTTGAGCCACAGCACCACTTCTGGCTTTTTCTGCTTGTGTGGTGCTGAGGAATCAAATCTAGGTCCTCAGGCATGCAAGGCAAACACTCTACCACTGAGCCACCTTCCCAGCCCCAGTTTGTGTATTATTGAAAGTCCCTGATTTAGTACATGATTCTGTCTTGGTCATAGTTTTGAAAGCTAACAGCAAAGATTACAATAACAAAATAATTAGTAAAGCTACACTAAAAAGAAGACAATTTAGCATGAGGATAAGCAATCAGAATTAGGATATGGAGATTATGATAAGAAGCAGGTTTTTTTTTTAAAAAGAACGTTTTTAGCTATTCATTATAAATACAAATCACAATATGATAAAACAGACACTTGGTCTGGTCTTACCTTTGTTATTTAGCCTTCTTAGAAAGGTTTCTAGCTTATCTAACTTCAGGTCTGATTCCAATTGCATATCTGGTCTGGCTTCAATATCTAATCAAGAAGAAAGCATCAGTAAGTGAGTGTTACTGAAACTCAGATCAGAAGCTCACAGGCTATTGGGGACCACCATAGTTACTCACCTTCTAGGGGTTTGGACACTGGCGTAGTACCTCTTGACTTACTACACAGAGGAGATGAGACTGGAGTTATGGCAGTGGGTGATGCCAAGCCTGAAGAACAAATAACACAGTGATACAGCAGGTTAAAATTATTCTGGAAATTTCTAGGACCCAATGAATTAATCTCTATGAGTACCTTGTAGATTTATAATCCATGCATGTGTGTGTATACTCAGCATATGTATCTAGTAGCTACCTTGACTATGCAGGGGCAACTGTAACTACAGATAGCATTTTATTGTTTCTAAGGATTGTGCACTCGTGAGCTGATATACCAAATATACAATAGAGACACAGGAAAACAAGCCGCGAGACTGCATCAGGCAATCAGAATGGACTTAGATGGAGTTAAAAGTTTTGAAGGCAACAGATGGAGCACGGTTGTCCTATTAGAGAGGAAGCTAGTTAAGATCAAGCTGTGAGCCAGGCCCAGAGGACCACACCTGTGATCCTAGCCACTCAGGAGGCTGGCATCTGAAGACTAAGTTTGAAAGCCAGCCCAGGTAGGAAAGTCGGTGAGACTTATCTCTACGTAAGCACCAACAAAGGCCAAAAATGGAGCTGTGGCTCAACTGTTAGAGTGTTAGCTGTGAGCAAAAAAACTGCTCAGGGACAGAGCTCAGGTCCTGAGGTTAAGCCCCAAGACCAGCACATACACAAAAAAGAATAAGCTGTGTTACATTAGCCAAAAGTGGTCCCTGGTATTGGGAGTTACAGAGACAATTTGGCCTTATGGGCCAAATAGTCACTAACGCAAAGAGCACTGGGTTTTTGGAAGAAAGACACAGGAGGGTGTATATTACTCTGATTTTGTATTGCTGAGGATCATACTCAACACTCCCAGTACTGTTCTCCCACTCTACCAAAAAAAAAAAAAAAGGTGGTTCTGAGAAAGAATTTGTTGAGGTATTCTTAGCAGGCTTGTAATCACTTCTGAAATCTACAACTGTCCTCGCTTTCCAAATGGGAAAGTTTTGACATGGTGGCAAGTTGAATCACACTTCATATTGCAGGCAGCCCCAAATGATTTTTATAAAATATTTAGTAAGACTAGCACACAAAACCTACACAGAAAAGATTCACTTAACACTGGGATGCTTAAAACTTCACTTTAAAATAACAACACCAACAAAAAAGCATCTGTTCCAGACCACATCACCTCTGTGGGTGAGCACAGGGCACCCACATGCTCACAGCGCATGTGCACTGGCTCTGACCTTTCTTCACCATTCTGCCGGCCACTGTGAACTGGGTGGAGTCATTGGCAGCACCTCTGCCCTTGGTCTTCCATGCTTCCTCCCGCACGGTGATGAGCTGCTTCCTCTCCTCAATGGTCATCTGGCTCTCCCGACTTTCCGTGACCCGCTGTTTGCAAGAGAAAAGAAATAGAGGGAAATAGAGTTAGTCTGTAGCATTCATGACTGAAAGAGCAGGTGAAAAAAACAAACAAAAAAAGAGTAACACATGAAGTTGCTCTAGAGTCTGGTCCAACTCAGTGAACTGTGGGCGCATGGGGAGAGTCTACATGCACTCACACAGACCACAGTGAGTCTAGATCAACTCAGAATTGGATAGGAAGAGATGTCCATAAGATTCCTGAACTTGGCACACACCTCCCTTCAGCAGATTGTCATAGGGACAGCAAAGTAGCCAGGTCACCCATGGAAGGGGCTTTAGGCCACAACAAACCTAACAACTGAGGATGCAGTGTGCACAGACATAACATACATAGATACCATTTCTACTTAAAAGATGCCTTCAAATATTTCTCATTGTGCTTCTGAAAAAACCTATTGCTTCCATTTCTAGGCCAATGGTGGTGCTTCTTTGGCCTGATGCTGGGAACAGAGTAGGTAACCAAGGGGAAGGGGGGGTGGAGAGGGACCTGAAGAGGACTCTGGACTGGGACTGGACCAGGATGACAAGGTTAAGTTGGAAAATGACAGATAAGACTGAAAGCAATTGGGGTGAACTGGGAGGGAGGAGGGGGACAGGAAGGAAGAGTGTAGGTGAGAGTGTGGCGATATTGAAGTGGAACATCATGTTTCCTCCCCCTTCTTTCCTGCCACCCTACTTTGACTACAAACCCCCTCTCTGCATTAAGGCACAGGATAGGGCAAGAAGCAGGAGGGAGAGAGGAGGGAAGGACCAGGAGAGTTAGGAGAGAAATGGAGAGAGGGAGAGAGAAGGAGAGAGGAGAAAGGAAGAGAAGGGAAGGGGAGGGAGGAAAGGTTGGTGGTGGGGGAGAAGATTCCAGAGCTGATTCCAAGAAAGGAAGAGAGAGAATGAATCCTTCTAAGAGCAGGAAGAACTTCATCTGGAAGGCTACAAGGAAGTTATTCTTGGCACAAAGTCTCTGACAGCTGGCATGGCCTCCTAGGTTTGCCCTTTTGCTTTTACCTAGGTATCTTCATGGCCCTGAGGGGCACCATTTCTACTAGGGCATTTACTTTCTAGTTGTGCCTAAGCACTCCTTAACTCCTGTCAGTTCTCTAGCTGCTCTTCCTTCCTGAGGAATTTTCCTTGGATAAGAACTCATCAGAGATCCAAGTGATCCCAAGGCCTTTTCCTGACATGGGCCTAGGAGTGCCTTTGGTGGAGTATCCCCAGGGTTCAGTGGTTTTTCTACCTCCATAACTTTCCTTCTACTACATGAGTTGGTCCCCCTCTGGGATCAACAGGAAGGGCAGGAAGAGAGCAGAGATAGTCACAGTTAATTTTCTTAATTATGATTATGGTCTTCCCAATCATCTAATCTTAATTATAATGACTTCCTTCATAGGATTCTTCACCAGACCATCACAGCCGGAAGAAATTTTGAGATCCTTGGTAATTTAAATTAGGTTAAGAACCTTTTCCTAAAGGAATAGGATGACTAAATGAAAGATACGATCCTGGCTTCGATCTTTAATATGGTGGGGGAAAAAAGACATTATTAGGAGGAATTGACACAATATGAATACAAATGTGAATTAGACAAGCATTATGTCAATGTTACATTCCTCATCTTAATCACTGTATCACTGTATTGTGGACATGAGGGAAATACTTTGGCAAATATACCCTGAAAGGAGCATACACATATACAACATATACACATGAATGCACACACATGATTTATGGAGGAAAGAAGAGTGAGAGCAAATGTTAATAATTATTGGGCTGGGTAAAGGGTGCAGGAGGGTACCCTGCTTATTACGGAAACTTTCCTAGAAGTTTTAACTTTAAGCAATAAAGACGTTTTCAAAAATTAAAAACGAAAAACAACTATATATTTCCTATGACGGTCAAGAAGACCCTAATTTCAAGGAATACCTGAACTGACTTGCTGAAATGCCCTCACAAAATTCAAGAAAGAGAGAAGTTTCCACTGAAAATGGAGTTGAATCAAATCAATAAAGTACATGACTTGGCTTAAAATATTTCCAGAAAAACCAAGTGCCAAGAGAGTTGGCTCCGTCAAGACTCAGACATCTCTCAGCCTTCACTGAACTCATTAACCCATCTCCAGTATCGAGGGTGTGGTACTGGAGTGTATAAATGACTCAGAAAAATTGTTTTGAACCCACAATTTAATTCCCAAAGCACTTGGAATGGCCCTAGAACTCCTTCATACTGGAATGAAAAACCATTGAAGAAGTTAAAGCTTTAATTCATGTGACAGATCTAAGGCAAGAAGCTTTCTACTCCCCTGCACATTATATTAAACATAAGCATTTTTATCTCTCTACACGTTTCTACTTAACTTGGGTTGGGTTTCGGGAAACCTGACTCACCAGTCCACTTTACATGACTCCTTGTGTTAAGGGGGTTAGAAATATGAAGTTTAGGAATATGAAGAGAGAAAGAGATGGGGGGGAGAGGGGGTGAGAGGCATAGAGGAGGAAGACAGAGGAGTAGTATGTGTATGTTTGTGTGTGTGTGTGTGTGTGTGTGTATGTGTGTGTGTGTGTGTGTGTGTGCGCGCGGGTATACATTAGGGAATGAAACAGTTGGGCAGAAAAGAGGGTTTCTCCTAGGACAGAGATTTAATAGGAAACAGATTAGAGCCATATAAAAGACCAATCAGGAAAAAATGTTTTTAAATTATCATGTGTTGCTGGTAAGTTTGCTTCCCTCCCACATCTCCTGAAAAATGGGACAGTAAGAGTGCAGCTGACATATGTTGTTAAGAGTATACTGAAGGGTAAAACACTTCTGCAACTAGAAAGCTTCAAGGAAAGAAAAATTTGTGGTTTAGCTTTTAAATTTTCATCTTAAGTCTAGTTAAACTCAACCGTAAAAAGAAATCATAAGAGCGTAATGTTAAATAATAAAAATGGAAAGAAGAAATAGAAGTGTGGCTAAGCCAGGACATTTTTGCACACTGTTAGGAGATTTAGCTTTGAGTCCTTCTTAGCAGAGTTTTGAGTGTCTGTGTCAAGCATGCAGCCACAAATGGCCTCAACAAAAGATGGAAAGATCACAGGCCTCTGCTCAGACCTCAAAGTAACTATAACGTTGTTCTAGCACCATCAGCCAGCTCAGAAAATTAAAGGATGAGCTCCTGACTTAGCACAGGATTTAATGCTTGGTGATTAAAAAGGGGAACTTGCCCCTTAAGCTAGTTTCATGACTGTGAGGGGTAGACACACTAAAATCATAGACACACACACAATCATAGACATACACACAATCATATACACATCATATACACATACTCACACACACAACAACAACAGAGCAAATAAATGAGTTTGCCAAACAAAACCAAAGTCCTTCCCTACTGCTCAGAAATTGCAATGAGGCTTCATTTGTATAGGCTTTTCCTCACCTGATTAATAGTTACAAAAGACAGGTATTTATGGGCAGCAGGTATAGCAGGAGAATAAGTAGAAGCATATACAGGTTCCTATAGAGCAAAGCAAGAAGATTAGAGATGAAAAGACTGATTACAAGGGTGGCTAGATGGGTGAGATGGGGTGGTGTGAGGGAGACAAAACAATGGAAGTTCTAACAGAAAAGTTAATTGACTCATTGCAATTTCACCTTGCTATTTTTTTAAACTCCCGTTTTCCCTTTATTTTTGTGCCAGTCTTAGGGCTTAAAATCAAAGCCTGGGAGCTGTCACTGAGCTGCTTTGCTCAAGGTTAGTCCTCTACTATTTGAGCCACAGCTCCACTTCTGCCCTCTTGGTGTTTAATTGGAGATAAGAATCTCACAGACATACCTGCCCAGGCTAGCTTCCAACCTAGATCCTCATATCTCAGCCTCTTGAGTAGCTAGGATTATAGGCGTGAGCCACTGGAGCCTGGCTTCAGTTTGCTTTGTAAAGAGAGTCCTTCCACGAATGCCAATACTAAAACCAGTTCACAGGTGCAGCACATGTATGAATCAGCTTTGTGTTGATAGAATGAGGAATGGGAAGACTACTACAATGCAAGCTGCTTGGTTATCAAGATGGGATTCATGACTTTTGTCGGCAATGTTAGCATTTCACACACACACAAAAATCACCTTCTGTAAGGTATTTTTGATAGGTAAATAAAAATAATTAAAAAACTTAAGAACATGGGATCAGCTTTTCATGCTGTATAAAGGCTGTTATTCTTAAATCACATACAAATGAAGGAGGGCAGAGAAGACCCATCTAATGATCAGAATGAGCTGGAACGGACTATAACCAGGCTTGTCATCTAGAGGGAGTGACACCTGACACACAGGTCCTGGAAGGGATAATCATCTATGCTTGGAGGGACGGGAGGCCCACCTGAGTGACTTTTTTTTTTTCTTTGTTGTTTTGTGCTGGTACTGAAGCTTGAACTCATGATCTTGCACTCTATATTGGCTTTGGCCAATCAAGGCTGGTGCTCTACCACTTGAGCCATACCTCCATTTCCTTGCATTAATGTTTACAAGGAATCAGACAAAATCTGGAAGTCCCTCTCACGCAACATTTTTAAGGTGTCCTAGAATACACTTCGTTTATTATAACACTATGTTCTTTGCTCAGAGGCATCTCATCAACCATTTTTTTGGATATATAGGATGCAAAATCTCAAACTGAGCATGTTCAGGAATGTGCCTGGCTCTCTCTGCATGAACTGTGAGAGTTTTTCCTACATGAATATATCTACACGTTTCCAGCGATAGCCTTCTGCCTGCTGTGTTCACAGAGATGCACCTCTGAGAATTCTCTCGAGTGCACACCTCAGCAACGTCAAATCCTAGACTTTTCTTCCCTCTTTCATGTCCCGGTTGTGCTTCAGGGCTTTGCACTCACCCAGGGGAGACCCACTGTGGTCAGTTACATGAGGACACCTGTGTGGGGGAGTCAAGCTTACCCAAGGTAGATAAGAAATGGCATTATCATCTGTAAATCCTGCTTCTTCCTACAGGTTAAAACAAACAGAAGAAATTGCAGAGGATTGGAAGAGAAGCGTCTAGTCAGGGTCCCACCATCATTTTCATGCCTAGGCTTAGTTAGAAGCGTGCACGTGCTCACAATTCAGTGGCATAAACACCATGAGAACTCATTTCCTGCGGGGAACTTTGAGATGTCATCCTCCAGCCTTACTGTCCCCTCTTTTCCTTCCTCTTTTGCATTGGTTTCATTCATCATGGTGGTGACTGGACATTTCAATGACAGAGGCAGTGACAAAATACATGAACATGCAAGATTTGCCTTCCTTGAATTTTTAGGACCTTGTTTTGGAGCTCAAAGGATCTGAGCTGACCACACAAGGGCTGAGTCAGCCTCTCATCTGGGATTCAGGAACAGATGCCAGTTTGTAAGGGGCAATTCTATAAATGATTTTATAGAAAAGTCGGATATACTACATAGTTATTTTAACAAACAGACACAAGACAGGGTGATAGGATTGGAATTTTAAGTTCTTATTAGATGAAAATAAAGACTGATCAGATCACTGCTTTAAGTGATCTCTCTCTTTTCCTCTCTCTTTTCTTTCTGATGGAATGAATTAGTGTAGAGGAAACACGACACAAGCCATGCTACGTGACACATACTCCACTCAGTATGGACCAGGCCAACTCTACAAACAAAATAAGCTTTATTGCTTAGAACTAATTACATAAACTACAAAGAAACAGAAGTGCTCAAGTCATTTGGCCTAACCCAAATATAGGAGAAGGGTGGCAACGAAGATAGTATGTTTTTTCATGGGAAATGACCAAAAATTAGGGAAATAATTAATGCTCTCAAATGACAAACCATCAACCCCGATTTGAGGGGAATAAAACTGAAAAGCAAGAAACTGTTTCTAAGTTCCTTGCTTCATGGGACATGGCTAGAATGATGGAGAAAAACTCAACAGTTCTTCAATGCTATTCAGAGGCCAAAATAGAAACATATTACTATATAGGACCTCAATGACATGCTCATGACAGCATTACAGGTTCTTTTCCTTTGGGACATCCTCTTGGGCAAATAGGTATCCATTTCAAGGCATCCTTTATACTCTTTTTTAAAAACTGGGGACATTTAAATTCCCATGTGGCTTCTACGATGTCATTTTCAGGTGGTACTAGCTGCTGTACTGTGTGAGTCTCAGGGCGAAGGGAGTGACTTACAGTTGTCATGACATGCCCCACCCTTTCTGTGTAGTCACAGCTGCAATTCTCGGATCTATGCTTACCACACACAGAAAGGAACCCAAGCTGTGAAATGTTTGGTGATCACAATTATGCATTGTTTGACAAATTCAGAAACTAGGAAGTGTTGGCCTGATCATAAAACCAGCTCCTTTGTACCCAAGCTGGTAAAGCTGGAAGGTTCGATAACTATGTTTTGGGCAGTAATATATGGACAAGTTTACTCCTACTCTATCTGAATGCATATGTTTTAAATGGGAGAGAGAGAGAGAGAGAGAGAGAGAGAGAGAGAGAGAGAGAGAGAGAGAGAGAATGTGTGTGTATATGTGTGTGTGTGTGTGTATAGTGGATACTGGATTACTGGATACTGGGGCTTTAATTCAGGGCCTGAGCTCTGTCCCTTAGCTTTTTTGCTCAAGGCTGACACTACCACTTGAGCCACAACTCTGCTTCTAGCTCATGAACTGCAGATAACAGTCTCATAAACTTTTGTTTTGCCTGGGCTCATTCCGATCTCAGCCTCCTGAGTAGCTAAGATTATACATGTGAGCCACCAGCACCTAGCCACAAACGTCTTTCTTGAGGTCAATGGACCACTTTTCAATTACTCCTGAGAGCTGGCTGGGGATGACCTCTGAGGCAGTGAAGGGAGAGATGAACCAAGACACTGCCAGAGGCTGTCAGTAAACCACTTGACTTGAACGGAATTTGAGATTTCCCTATGTGACAACAGCCTAAAATAGATGGACTTAAATTTAGCATCAAAGAGCTTATTGTCTCAGACCACACTGAATGAGGCCATCAAAGAGGGCTAAGAATTGTGAGTTCGCAGTAGCTGCAGAGACATGATCCAAGTAAAGCACTTCACATTGGCAAGCCCAAGCTACCTAGAAACCCAGTGCTTGAACCCCATCCCTGGGTTTCTACCCCAAGGTTAGCAATGGCAGGGTAACATGGATCTTTTGTCCCCTAAACACCTCAGCCATGTCTTTGAGTAGTATTTACTACTGAAGACCATCCATCACTCTTCAGTGGGTAGGAAAGATAGATCCACCATTTATGTGGATTTCCATCTCGCTTTGTGCTTTTTTGGCTCAGCTTAATTTTCATCTGGCGGTAGGGGATGGTTGGTTTCTGAAAGCCCAGGTACTCTGCACCTTTCAAGATGACCAGCAGGGCACTCTGGTGCTGCTTGGTACCATAGCACACTGCTGACAGCTTTGTCAGTAAGTTATGTACCAAAGTTATTTTTGAACCAATGATTTTTAGGACTTTTTTTTAGGTATTGGGGATTATACCAAGAGCTTCATATATGGTAGTCAAATGCTCTTTCAGTGAGATACAGCCTCAGCACTAAGATTCTTGTAAACAGAGTTTGTGGGCCAAGGTATAAATTATTTGAAGGACTCAGTTTTCTTTTATCTTGAAATCTCAATTTCCTACATTTATACTTTAGTGTTCAGTTGTATGTAGTTGTTGAAAACATGATAAATGGCTGAGAACTAAATGTCCTTAGTTATTATCTTTAACACCAGGTAGGAAAAAAATGAGAGTTCAAATTGCCATTCTGATCTCACTGTTTTAGAAACAGAAGTACCATAGAAATAAAATAGCATCTAGATTACTAACTCGTACAATCTCATTTTTATCTAATGAGACCTTACTGAACAAAGGTCACCTTCATCATTTCTTTTTTCCATAGATACTTATTTTCATTTTTGAGATAGGCTCTTGCTATATTCCTCAAGCTAGTCTTGAACTCCTGAGCACATGTGAGGCTCCCACAGCAACTTCCCTGGATAGCTGGAACTATAGGCACACAACATCATACTAGACATAGGATGTTTATTTGAGATCCAGAAGGGCCCAGGTGATCAAGCAGTTGGGAACATTTATTTTTTCCTTTCTATTTGAAGATTCTGAATCTGAGAAATTGGCTAGTGGGTATGGCCTTTACCCAGAAAGCACAATATACAGGTATCAATATATCTGCAGTGCTAGCCAGCAGTTTTGAAAGTATGTAGTAACTGGCCAAAGACTGGTCATCATTACATTTGTAATTTAACAACTCATAAATATTCTTTTATATGAAATGTTTGCTAGCACTGGTCACCATATATAACTTTTATTTAGTAAATTAATTCAATAAAAGGCATATCTCTTTATTATGAAACAGGCTTAAAAGTATTCAGAAAGTATTCTACTTAGGTCTTAAACCTCTGCATAGGAAACCCAAATCCATATTTTGTAAGTAACATGTAAGCTCTTAGTAGTAAGTTAAGAGTTGCATTGGAGGGTTCTTGTTTTCTTGGTTTTTGTTGTTGTTTGTGCTGGTACTGGGGCTTGAACTCAGGCCTAGCCACTGTCCTTTAGTCTTTTCACTCAAGATTGGTACTCTACAGCTTGAGCTACAGCTCCACTTTTGGCTTTTTCCTGGTTCATTAGATATAGAGTTTCATGGACTTCCCTGTTCAAGCTGGATGCGTAGCTGGGATTAAAAGCATGGGCTACCAGTGTCCCACTCTTTTGAAAGTTTTTAATCACATTCTAAATCCAGAATTCATTTAAGAATGTGTGCATATTTGGAAATAGTCCCATGCATGTTGAGGCATTATGTGCAGTGCTATTAGGACTACAACATATTAAGACTTGGCCATTTGATTAATTTAGCAGCTACATGACAGGCTAAGCATGTTCCTAAGGCATTTATGCTCTCTAGAGTAGGACTTAATCCAGACATGCTTGTCCACCTGACAAACTGACAGGCGTGATGTTAGAAGCTCTGTCCTCACATGGAAACATTACCTTCTTCTTTAGAGACTGCTCTGTTTCCTGGATGTGTAGGCTGCTGCTGGCTGATGCTTTGACGTATTCCTGCTTTCGATGAAGTCTGTTCTTCCAGTCTTCTTCACCACTCTTCTTCAGCAGTGCCAACCTGGAAGGAAAACATACCAACCAAAGACTTCACCACCAAACTCTTAGAACTTGCAAGTCCTTTATCTAAAAGGTCCCAAAGATTTTTCAGCTGATTACAGAGTAAGGCTGAACCCGTAACTGTCAGATAAGAGAAATATAATCATTCCAGCAAGGGAATAATAGACATCTGCTTTTTTTGTTGACCGTGGGCTGAGAGCAATAAGAGAGGATTAAAGTAACCATCCCCAAGTCCTTCCATTTCCTTATCCAAAGAAACATAGGTCACATAGTCTCCATTATTTGTAATAATTAGTATATATCTAGGACAATCTTAGCAGATGAGTAGAATAGCTCAATAGCTATGTACATATGACCATATAAATGATGCTAAGTGAAATGAACTTCAAGACATGGATACAAGAGGTTTTTCTTTGTTGTTGTTGTTCTCAATGTACTACGTGATTTTTTTCTTTTGTGCCCCCCCCCCCCCGCCCATGGTTTATCCCCTGTTGTCACTGCATTCGATTTTGGTACCTTGGGTATTGTATATACATTTATCTGAATTAGAAAAGGGAAGGGGAACAACAAAATGGTGAGACAAAGGACAAATGTGGAACCTATGCAACACCAATATTCACAAGATAATATGTTAGAAATGATCTGTACAACTTGGGGAGGGGAATGGGGGAGGGAAAGAGGGAGAAAAATGAGGGAAGGGGTAACAAGTTACGCAAGAAATGTAATCAGCTGTAACCCCTCTGTACATCACCTTGACAATAAAATTAAAAAACAAAAAACAATGTTGTGATAAACATGGTTGTGCTTGTAGCTTTGGTATGACCTTGTTTGTGATCCTTTGGGTAAATGTCCAAAAATGGGATTGTTGGGTCAGAAGCTCTACATGGAGTCTTTTGAGGAACCTCCATACTGCTTTACAGAGTGGTTGAACAAATTTACACTCCCACCAACAATGTAGTAGGGTTCCCTTTTGGCCACATCCCCTCTAACAGCTGTTATTAGATTTCTTGATTATAGCCATTCTAACTGGGGTGAGGTCGAATCTCAGCGTTGTCTTGATTTGCATTTCTTTTGTGTTAGAGAAGTTGAGTATTTCTTCATGTGTCTATTGGCCCTTCTTATTTCCTCTTCAGAGAAGTCTTTCTTTAAGTCTTTAGCCCATTTGTTAATAGGGCAGTTGTTTCTTTGAGGATTTGTTGTTGGGGGATTTAAGTTTTTGAGTTCTAAGTATATTTTAGATATGAGACCCTTGTCTGTTGTATGGCTAGTCAGGATCTTCTCCCAGTCTGTAGCTACCAGCACAACCATGTTTATCGCAGCATTATTTACAATAGCTAAGATATGGAACCAACCACGATGCCCCTCAGTAGATGAATGGATCAAGAAAATGTGGTATATATACACAATGAAATTCTATGCCTCCATCAGAAAAAATGACATTGCGTCTTTTGTTAGGAAATGGAAAGACTTGGAAAAAAATCATATTAAGTGAAGTAAGCCAGGCCCAAAGAAACATAGGTCCCATGGTTTCCCTTGTTTGCAGTGACTACTATATGTCTAGGACAAGCAGAGTAGGTCAAAGGCTATGTACATATGACCATATGAGATAATGTTAAGCAAAATGTACCCCAAACAGGGACATAAGAGGTTTTTTTCTTTCTTTCTTGCTAGTGTTTTTAATGTACTTACAAAACACTATGTGATTCTTTTGTTTCTATTGGATGTTCTTCCCCCATGGTATAACCTGTTTTCACTGGATTTGATGCTGGTGCTCTGCACCTTGTATATATATTTTTGTAATTTGGGGGGGGAAGGACATTTCAGAATGCTTAAATGAGGATTCAGCCTGACCCATTGTGACAACGAGATGTACAGGACACTATATTGAAAATGAACTTTACAATGTGTGTGTGGGGGGGAGGAGTTGGGGAGGTGGGGAGGGAAGTGATGGTAGGGGGAAAATAAAGGAGGAGGTAACAATGCTCATTATGAAATGTACTCATTACTCTACTCATGTAACTGTAACCCTTCTGTAAAACATTTTTACAATAAAAAAAAAAACCCAAACAAAAAAACTCATCCCCAAAGAAAAATGTCTTCTAGTGACCCCTGCTGGCCACTTGATGAAATGACATTAAATGGAGAAAGCTGCGAGCAGTTTTCTGTACATACTGCAGCCCAGGAGTTTAAAAACTGTATTTTATTCCGGTGCCCTGCATCTTGTATATATATTTTTCTAATTTGGGGAGGGGAAAGGAAATAACAAAATGTTGAAATAAGGATATAGGTTGACCCATTGTAACAATGAGATGTACAAGACATTATATTGAGAACAAACTTTACAACTTCTGGGGGGGAGTAGAGGAGGTGAGGAGGGAAGGGATGGTAGGGGAAAAACAAAGGAGGGGTAACAATTCTCGATAAGAAATGTACTCATTACCTTACTCATGTAACTGTAACCCCTCTGCACAGTATCTTTACAATAAAAATATATACAAAAATAAAAATAAAATACAAACAGTAAAAAATTGAAAAGATCTTAGTATCATGCATTTAAGCTAAAGGTGGATTATGATGTTTTTTTCTTGTATTCAAAATCCTGTACTTTTCCTCCAAATGAACCTGACCTAACACATAAATAATGTATAATATATACATATTATACATTATACATATATATATACATATATATATATATATATATATAACACATATATATGTATATAAAAACTGTTTTCAGCTGGGCGCTGGTGGCTCATGCCTATAATCCTAGCTACACATGAGGCTGAGATCTGAGGACTGCAGTTAAAAGCCAGCCTGGGGAAGAAAGTATGTGAGGCTCTTATCGCCAATAAACCACTAGAAAACCCGAAGTTGTGCTGTGGCTCAAGTGGTAGAGCGCTAGCTTTGAGTTGAAGAGCTCAGGTACAGTGCCCAGGCCCAGAGTTCAAGCCCCATGACTGACAACAAAACAAAACAAACCAACCCCCCCAAAAAAACCTTTTTAATAAACCCATTAAGAACTATTACTTCAGCTTTCCTCAGGGAAAAGATTATATATAAAAGAAAGAATCTAATGAAAAGAGATGGCTATCAAACCTACTTGAGTACAACCTTTGTGTAACTTGATGTTGAGCTGCTTGGCTACTGGAGTCTCTGGAAAGATACTTTCATGAACTTGAGGCTATTTTAGTTTCCTATATGTATTATAATGGATGAAGAAATTTGAGTTGTGTAAGTTAGACAAGCATGGGAAATGTAAAAAGTAAAGAGGTGATGGTCAGTAGACTCACATACACAGTAGTCTATGCTAAAATAATTTAAAGAGTAGAGAAACAAACAGATCATTCTGCCCCATCCTGCAGTCCTCTGCAACATCTTTCCATCTTAATACAGTATGTAGACGCAGGGCTGCACTGTTAGGTGTTTCAGCAGTTCTAGCTCCCTATTATGTGTGTGTGTGTGTGTGTGTACACACACACATACTTTAATTGTAAAGATACAGTCCAGAGGGGTTACAATTACATGAGCAAGGTAATGAGTACATTTCCTATAGAGCATTGTTACCCTTTCCTTTGCTTTTCCCCTACCAATCTTCCCTCCCCAACTCCTCCCCCGCTCCCCACATTGTAAAGTTCATTCTCAACATAGTGTCTTGTACATCTTGTTGTTACAATGGGTCATCTTGTAACCTTATTTCAGCATTTTCTCATTTCCTTTCCCCTCCCCAAATTAGAAAAACATATATACAAGATGCAGGACACATGAATCAAATACAGTGCCAACAAGGATTATACCATGTGGAAAGATCATACAAAAGAAACAAAAAAAATCGCATAGTATATTATAAATGCATTAAAAACAACAGCAAGAAAGATAAAATCTCTTGTGTCCCTATCTTGGGGTTCATTTTGCTTAGCCTCAGTTTATATGGACATATGTACATATATTTTGACCTTTTCTGCTTGTTCTAGACATATACTAGTTATTACAGATATGGGAAACAATGGGACCTATGTTTCTTTGGGCCTGGCTTACTTCACTTAATATAATTTTTTCCAAGTCTTTCCATTTCCTAACAAATGGGGCAATGTCATTCTTTCTGATGGAGGCATAGAATTCCATTGTGTATATATACCACATTTTCTTGATCCATTCATCTTCTGAGGGACATCAGGGTTGGTTCCATATCTTAGCTATGGTGAATAATGCTGTGATAAACATAGTTGTGCTGGTAGCTTTAGTGTGGTCTTGTCTGTGATCATTTGGGTAAATGCCCAAAAGTGGGATTGTTGGGTCATAGGGGAGCTCTAGGTGGAGTCTTTTGAGGAACCTTCATACTGCTTTCCAAAGTGGTTGAACAAGTTTACACTTCCACCAACAATGCAGTAAGGTTCTCTTCTGTCCACATCCCCTCCAGCATCTGTTGTTATTAGAGTTCTTGATTATAGCCATTCTAACTAGGGTGATGTGGAATTCTCAGTGTTGTTTTGATTTGCATTTCTTTTATGGCTAGAGAAGTTGAGCATTTCTTCATATGTTTATTGGCCATTCTTATTTCCTCTTCAGAGAAGTCTCTCTTTAAGTCTTTAGCCCATTTGTTAATTGGGAAGTTGTTTCTCTGAGGATTTGTTGTTGGGGAATTTAATTTTTTGAGTTCTAAGTATATTTTAGATATGAGACCCTTGTCCATTGTGTGGCTAGTGAAGATCTCCCAATCCGTGGGCTTTCTATTGATCTTGCTAGCAATGTCCTTTGCCATGCAGAAGCTCTGCAGTTTCATGCAATCCTATTTATTGCTGACTATTTTCTTCTCCATTCCAGTAACAGAGGTTATCTAATGGCTCATCTGCTAAGTTTCCTGATTCCAGTCAATGTTTGTAATAGAGGCTGGGTGATAAAGTGATACTGTGATAAAAGTTCTTGTACTTATTTTTGGTGGCTCTGTGGATGGAACCCAGGGCTTTGCCCTTGCAAGGCTGTTCTATCACTGATCTACAT